GGACACTTTCAAGGAAAACCTCTGGTCACACTTCCATCCTGAGACCAGAGACACAGTGATACAGTGATGCTGTAAAGATCATCCTTGTTTTTATCCTGCACCGACCACAAGTTTAAACTTGTATATATTTATTTTTTTTTTCGGTTTTGTTGATCACAACTTGTACAGCACCTGCACTTGATGACACAGCATCAGCGTGATGGTATTTTTCCGTTGCTGATTAACGAAAGAAGAAGAAGAAGTCAAACACCCTACTATAAACCAGGTATTATAGCGCTTCCTAAGTATGATAAATATTTAGTAGTTTAATCCAATGTATTTTAATTTGTTCTTTTAATCATTTAATAAACTGCTTCCCTGAGCGCAGCTGGATACGCCCACAGAGGTCCAACCCTGAACAGTTGGGGCAAAAAAGGACACAATATTCAAGCTTGATACAGGTCTGAATTTGGATTATAATTAAATATTTGAGATATTATAAGGTTTCTGAATAAATGTAGTCACAGAACTTGAAATTGGTTATATGAATTGAATTTATATTCAATTAAAGATTTATTGCTGTTGTGCAATACTTAGTAATCAATAGCTATAAATAATGCACCAAAGTTTCATGAGAACTGCTGAAAGCATTTTTGAGTTTTTGTCCAAAAAATGGAAAATCCCCCCTTTTTTAATGAATAAAATCCCATAACTCAGAAATGTAAAATCTAAAATTTATAAAATTCTAAAGGGAGCTTACATCAACAGATATAAACAATTCATCAAAGTTTCATGAGAACTGCTGAAAGCATTTTTTAGTTATTGTCGGAAAACTGGAAAATCCCCCCTTTTTTAATGAATAAAACCCCAAAACTCGAAAACGGTAAATCTGAAATTTATAAAAAACGAAAGGGAGCTCACGTCAATAGATATAAACAATTCACCCAAGTTTCATGCATATTGGTTGAAGCTTTTTTGAGTTAATGTCCGACATGTTGACGACGGACGGACAGACGGACAGACAGACAGACGGACAGACGGACATACAGACGGTCAATGGTATACCATAATACATCCCGTAAACGGGCGTATAAAAACTATAAAGAAGTGTAGATATGTGATAGCTTACAATGTAATTTTCCATATCAATTTTATTTCCATGAGCCATAACTCCTATAAAAATAGTTGATTGGCACTGATTATCGAACTTGTCCAAGACATTAATGACATAAAAGTTCAATTTAAAGGAATGTAGGCATGAAATCCTTAATAATGCATTTTTTTTTAAGTAAGAAGATGTGGTATAATTGCCAATGAGACAACACTCCACCAGAGACCAGATGATATAGAAGTTAACAACTATTAGTCACTGTACAGCTTTCAACAATGAGCAAAACCCATACCACATAGTCAGCTATAAAAGGCCCCAAAATGAAAAATGTAAAATAATTCAGCCTCAAAATGACAAATGTAAAACAATTCAAACAAGAAAACTAATTGCCTAATTTATGTACAAAACAATGAACAAAAAAACAAATATGATATACAGCAGCAGGGATTTACATTTCAAAGGGAAATAATTCCTGTAAAGATAGTTGATCAACACTGATTTTTTTAACTGATCTAAGTCTTTGCTGATACATATAAACATGATAAACATTTCATAAAATTCTGACAAGCCTGTTAAAGAGTAATGTACAAAATGAAGGCTTGATAGCACTTACAATGCAATTTTCCATTATGATTGTAACTATGATAGAATTTATATTTTCAAGGGACATTACTCCTGTTAAAGTAATTGATCAGCACTGGTTTTGGAACTTGTCCAAAGCATTTCTAATATTGACCTTTTGACAATGTTTGATAAAAATATAATTTTGTTTTAAAGACCATACATACAGACACTTAAACTTTCCAAGGGGCATTACTCCTATAATAAGAATAAAAATGCATTCCAATATCCTCCCCTGATGCACATACCTTATCGGTCAAATGGCAATTACTCAAAATTTGTTTTGGTTCTTTTAAACATTTACATATATATATATCTCCTACAAGAAATGTAGGCATGATAGAGACTGCTTACACTTTGATTTATCAGATATAATTTATATTTCCAAAGGGCATAAATAACTCCTGTAAAAATAATTAATTTGTGCAGATTGAGCTCATCAAAGACCTATCATATAACCGTTAATATGATAAATAGTTTATATATTTCATAATAATCTGACATGAAATGTAGGGGTAAGAGTGCTTTCAAAAGTGCATAACTTCTTTAAAATAGTTCATTAGCACAGAACACTACTTTTTAACTCATCCCAAACAAGTTGGTTTGGTGATATAAGTATTTGATATACATTGAATAAAAATCTGGCAAGAATTGAATGCATGAAAGCACTTACAAGAAGGGACAGACGGAGGCAGGCATGGAAAGACTCCCTATATTTCTATACCCCTGACCAAGTTCAGGCAATGAACCAGCAATTTGTATTCAGAAACAAAATCAAGAACCATTCAGTGGAGAATAACCTGGCATGAAATACAGGAACACACCTAGGGACAGTAGAAGAAGGCCTGAAGGGGTGGCCATATATCATACTACAGAGCAGAGTATCAATAGAAGTATACAGCAATTCTATCCTTTTACCATGCTTTGTAAGAGATTGAAACCTTCTGCAAGATAAAACAGAAGCTGCACGATCACTAAATCTAAACTATTTAGTTTATCCATGTTATCTATTTATTTATTTTTTCAATTTTGCAGAGCTGAATTTTGAAACACTTAAGTATAATGAGGTCTACTCCTTGCAGGAATAAAGAGAAGAAAAAGAAAGTTCAATATGCCTGTTAGTTGTAGGTTACACCCAGTATAAGTGGGGGGGGGGGGGGTCAATTTAAATTTCAAAACTATCTCAGAGACTGTCTTTGACTTTGTATCAACATAATGGGTTTTTTTGGTAGTTCTGGAAGATAAGTGTTTAACAACTACCATATGTTATCTGTGTTAGGACACAGTATATTTACTGTGTTATTTGTGCACATATATTACAATTTCAGTCAATGAACTGGATGAATCATAAGACATAACTCATACTTTCACTTTCTGTTTGAGATATCATAATGACACTCAGTTTCCGGTTGCTGTATATTACACTATCATTCTGAAGCACTGTAAAATGGATGATGTTTGTTGCAGTCATAAACTTACCTCTTACTGTTTCAGTTTTTGAAAAACTACAGGATCAATGCTGCTGGAAACCTAGAGTTTTGTTTATGGTAGTCTCCCCTTGAAATGCTACATTTTATGATGTATTGTCTCCCTTCGAATGCAAAAAATTATTGTTAAAAATGATCAAAATGTTATTGGAGTCTTTGAAGTTGAACACAAGGATTTTTATAGCCTAACTGTAAAAATCCTTATTGAAAATAATTATCATAGTATTACTTATTACTTAGATAAAACTCAGTTTCTGTCTCAAGTAAATGGGTTTGTGTCAGTGACTTCAATTCAACTCATGTTGGAGATACCCTAACCAGAGACATATATACACTCTCTGCCCTAACTAAGAGATGTAAATTTAACACTCCCAAATTAAAACTTAGTCAATTAGCAGAGCAAGAATGTCTCTGAGAGTAGTAAACACTGTCATTCGTATCTTTTTTTCCCTTTCATATTAGGTAGTTCGTTACTGTTGTTTTCAAGGTTATATTAAAGTGCAAAGTAAATTTTAAGATTTTTTATAAATTTCGTGCATCCGAACTGAGACTACTATGTTGTACTAGTCACAGATCCGATGCGCTTTTCTTGATTTACTTTTATCAGGAGCGCTCAAACCAGAGGCATGATAAAATATTGTATTGTATGTCTCTGCTCAACTCTAAACATTTGAAATCCAGATCATGGTAAAAATCACAAGGACTCGTTTAGCAGATTAATTTTTTTTAATTTTTATTTCGTATTTCCTGTCTATTTGTATTACATTATTAACGTATTTAACGTTAGCATCAATATTTCTATGGTATTTATTTTAGCAATGTGCAGTTTACTATCCAGGCATATCCGAATACTGAAATATTGTATTATAATTATGTCTCTGGTTCAATCGTGCATCATTAAAACTGGGACTTAACATGATATTGGTCCCAGATGGAAATGAACTTATATATATCATGGCCGACTTATACGTTCACAGAAAGGATTGTGTAATTCAATCAAGGATCAAATCCTTGAGTTAATTCTTAGAAAAAGGTTAGTGTGAATCGGCCAACTTCGAACAGTAAGGCTGCGCAAAAAAAAAATAAACAGGGCGATTCTACACCAAGCAGTCAGTTTTGGCACTCGCAGAGTTCAATATATATAGAGGACTATACTGATATTTCAATATCGTATGGATACGAGCAAGAACACATCAAATAGGTAAAAACAGGTTAAATATTAAAGAATATCTATTTTTCTTTAGATGAAATAGAGAAAGAGGGTCCATTCCTCACTGAGCGCCTTTGTGTCTATTGAAATGAAATTGTAGATATATAAAATATCTGAGATCCCTAAAAACTTTATATTTCTGTGGTTACTGACTGCTCTAAAAGTGAAATAACATCAGAATAAATATACACACTTCCTTCAGAAACGATCATATAAACTAAATTGGATTGCAATGGGTGTTAACTGAAGTAAGACGCGTGGTTTATTCTACACTGTCTTAGTCCTGAAGACAATTCTTTGGCGTGAATCTTTATTCGTCTGCAAGAATATAACAATGTATCACATTTAGAGTTTACATCTAACCTTAAAGTCACCAAAAATGTCTTGGAATTTATCTTAATATGATAACTCATTTAAAATCAAAATATTTTGAGTTCAGCCAATTCGATTTTAACAAAATTTCAAGGGTCCACAGTATTAGATTTGAAATATGTGTGTCACGGCAGTCTGCATTTGACACATTGCACATTCAGACAACGTTTTTAAAAAGCCATTGAAAACAATTACAATTAATGTTTACTTATAGAGTTGATATCGAATTAAGTACACATTGGGGAATGTCGACTTCTCTATACCTAATCTGCAATTTGATATGTTCACTCTTTATTTCGGCGAGATATGGAAACCAAACAATATTGTAACCCTGCACGTTAGGAAAGGATCGAAGCGTTGATATACATATTGAGGGGAACCATACTGAAAGTAAGTATGAAAGTACATGATATACAATTGCAGACGCTGCACGTGTTCTTGGTCTTTAGTTTGCCAATGGGAGATTTTCGATATTCACTATTAACATATATGTTGAGTAAATATTGAAATATAATCCTTGGGGTCAAAAGACAGTCACCAAGCATGGCTAGTAGACTAGAATGTAGCAGGAGTCCAATGTTGATTTTCTCATTATATTTGATGTATAATTATTATATGAGACAATTAAAATAAATAGAGATAGAATATTATATAGTGCATTTACTGCAGATCAAGAACTATCTCAAGAAAACTAAAAATGCTGGTTTTCTACCCTAAATAAAATATTTAAAGTACTTAAACTTGATGCAAAAGATTTGACAGATAATGGTGTTTTTAAAAATAGTCTTATAAGATATTATAATCAGCAATCTGACTCACAACTACACAAAATCAATCTGGGGCTAGCGCTGTGGACAGCAAAACTGATGCTTTTCAGTATTTTTTTGTTTCAAATTTTGTTCCCTTCTATTTTGGAACCAATCTTACCAAAAATATAAAAAAAAATTACACAACTACGTATCAGTGCTCATTGTTTAAATATAGAGCGGGGTAGATATAATAAACCCAAAATTCCAAGAGCAGAACGTTTTTGCGAATTCTGCGCTGAAGTAGAGACAGAAGAACATTTTTTTTATATCTAATCATAAATGTAAAGATATAAGGCAATCTATTTTTTCCAATCTTATGCTTTAGATTTGAAAGATTCACATAATAATTATTTTTTAGTTTCTAAACTTTTAAATCCACAAAATATTATTGAATGTAATTATTTATACATATTTATAAGGGATGCATTAGAAACAAGAAACAATTCTTTTAAAAATTATGTGTACAGTTGTATTATTATATACTACATGTAAAACTTTGAAATGTTGTTTTGTATATTATCATATGATTTGTAATGGAGAACACTTATGTAATATTAGTTATCTTTGATAAAGAATCTGAATCTGAATCTGAGTAAAATGATAACCGAAAAGTGGACAATCTGTTTGAATTGTATAGAGAAAGGTATATATTGTTGCAAATATAGGGATGATCTTTTGTAGGCGGTTTTAGGTTAAGGGTTAGTTCTGTTTTTTATTTTAATTATTATCATCTTAGGTAGATCGGAGTGGGGGTGACTTGTCTTTTTTCAGTTCTACGGATTAAAGAAATTTAAGAATTTGATGAGAAACGAATGACATGGGTGAACAATTGTTAGTGGTTTTATCATAACATTTAAGAGGACAATATAATCTTTAAATCTAAAAACAGACAAATAATTTATATAGATTCGAGGCTCCGAGGAATTGTAAAATTAATGATTACACGGGAAAGTCTTGAATTGTTTTTCTCACAACAATGTTTCAATACTGGCATTTTCAGGAGTACTTCATATATCTTTTTTTATCATTTTTGAACAACTAGGTTCTTTTTTTCCTATTTTGGTTTTAACCCAGCGTTTAGTTTTCAAACTATTAGTCATGTTAAGTTCCATATAATATCAAAATTCTCACAAGTTTGGTATCATCCCATGGTCATTGCGGCTACTGTCTGGAATTTTTTATTCCAAATATTTGAAAAACACATTCATCAAGTATATTTCTAACCTTACTTAGTACATTAATGACAGTAGATAGGGATTTTAATAGTGTGTATGCGATAGAAGATAACTGAGTCTCGTAAGCAGATACTAATTTATACCAATAATGATATTAACGGTACCAATTTTACTCCTTTAAATGCGTATTTCGACAATACATTTCTCTTCAGTGATGATTGATGCTAAACTAGTTGAGAATCTAGAACTTGATAAAAAAATGAAAGGCTATAAACCAAAAAGGACAAAGGTTATAGCCAAAGCCGGGCAATTAGCATACCATATATGTCTTTAATTTAATGTCCAAAGGGTATCTACCAAACTCCCCGTATACCATATACTAGTAGTTCAAGTTAATAGTATGACACTTGGAATCAATTTGAAATTGCAACTCACATAACTTCATATCAATTTTCGTGCTGTCCTTGCACACAAAGTTGTTTCTTACAATTTGTGATTTTGTAACAAAAACTTTTTCCCGTTTTGTTTTGACAACAGCAATCAATTTGGAATAGCATGTCATACCTATATATAATTATTCGTTTAAATCCTAGAAACAGAGGCGGAGGATACCAATGAATCATTCAAAACTGAAAGAAAAAGTCGAAGAGAAACTGACAAAAAGATGTTTCCCGAAATTTGCGATTTTGTTTAATCAAAAACAGTTTAAACAAATCATGTTTTTAGTTACTTCAAATTTGTCACCGATAATCAATTTTGCCGAATGTCTATTAATCAATTTTGGTTGAAATCCTAGCACAAATAGATGTTTCTAAAAAATAAGATTTTTTTATAGCGAAAAACAAGTTTTAATACCAATTATTTTACAATTTTCTTCCCAAAACATTTTTGCTATACATATTTGACAACGAGAATCTACTTGGTAAGCACATATTATAATTATGTATCAATGTTTGTTAAAAATTCTAGCACAAATGATGTTTCTGTAAATTGCTTTAAAAAACACTTTTTCCATAATTTTTTGACCCATTTTCACAAAAATCGAAAGAGATTCTTTTATATATTTAAAGACTGTGCATACAATATATGAGAATCGGTTGGAGAGCAATATTGACTTATGTGCGACATAAAACTGCCGACGGACAGACATACACAGTGATTACTATATGGCACCGACTTTGCGGGGGCCCTGGTGAATTGCACCACGATACTTGACTCATACTCAGACTCAGAAAATATCGTCAAGTACTATGCTTTTGTCATACCCATGTAATAAATGTATTTTATTTGTAGACAATGACATCTTGTGAACCCTGTCACAGGAAAGGCCTTGACGTTCCTGCAGTAAAATGGTGTACTGAGTGTGATGAAGCACTGTGTACCTCCTGCTATGATTCTCATAGGTCAATGAAAGCTTTGTTGTCACATCGTATTGTTGACATCGATTTAGCAAAGACGACTCCTGTCCCAGGTAAGAGCCATTTATACTTCTCATAACAAACTATTTCCTGTCATACAATAAAGAAAAGTGTAAGCGCAATAGACAACGGTCGCACCCAGTTTATTCATATTGCTATGCACGTCTCACACATGTTCAAAAGGTCCTCTACAATATACAAACAAACATATAATTTGTGTTTTCTTCGCTTCAGCTTATGGTGTCATAGGTGTGAGCTTTTAATGGTTTTTGTTTTCGATATTTGTATTGATTTTTTCAATTGTCGTTGTCTTATCCTATCCTGGATTTCAGTAATGATTCTGAATGGCCCTTTCCATGCATCTGGCTTAAAAATGTTACCATTGCCACCCTATAGATGTTACATATAATTATATGTACTAAAAGTATAAAGAATCTTTTACCGTACTAAAGACATTTTTCACAGTTCTGTTTTATTATCTTCTTTGGGCTGAGGGGGTATTTGTTTGAATTTTGTTTTTACATTTTTCTAAAAAGTCCTACGTGTAAAAAAGATGAAATTTTCAAACCGAGATGTAGATAAGAGCAAAGAACTAAAAATTATTTCACACGAGCAAAGTATTACAAAAAATGTCAATTGCAAACAAAAGTATACGATTGTATATGAATTTAAAAAGTATTTAAACTTAATTTTGAATACTGGCAGAGCTCCAATTAACATAAAACCAAATCCTCTTAAATTCCATTGTATTGAACTTCAAAAAATTAAAATGTCGCATTAACTTAAAGTCCAGTCCTTAAAAATTTACATACAATATACAACAAAACAATATTGATAGAAATATTTCACAAGGTAGACGGGTATAGACTCGGTTCCAATATAAAAATGGCTTGATACAGTAAGTTTAGCGAGTTACTTTTTTTATTATTCTTTCCTTAAACTGTTAGCATAAATAAGAACTAAAAACAGGTTTTTTATGACAGTAAATATTTGAAATATGCTGAGTTCAATTATAATTATTTGAAGTACGATTTTTTCATCATGACTTTATTTCTTTACGCTTATGGTAAGTTTGTCGTGTCATATACAAATGTGTACATCTTATTTTTTATTGCATTCTTTTTCAGCTTTGATGAAATCATCAAGCCAGTTCTGCAAAAAACATACCAATCAGAGACTTGAATATCACTGCTTGTTCCACGACGCTATATGTTGTCAAAACTGTATGACCCATAATCACCGTGCATGTGCAAACATTATTCCAATAGATATTGCTGCTAAGGGTGCCAAAGAATCAAGAAGTATCAGCGATCTTCTGTCACAGCTAGAAAATATACACAAGTCGCTAGATGGAATACGGCAGAAGAAGCTGCAAAATATAAAACAAGTAGAAGACCAGGATATAGCTATTCGGAATACGGTATCTAGACTTAGACAAAAGGTAACAGAACGCATGAACGTAATTGAAAAAGAATTGTATGACAAACTGACAAACCTAAAACAATCCGGAAAATCCAAGCTAGAAAGAGAATCAAGAAAACTTCAACAAACCGAAGACTTAGTGAAGTCTCATAAAGAACAAATAGAATTTGAAAAACAGCATGGTTCAGACAGACACACCTTTCTAGCTGCCCATATTATAAAAGAACACATTACAGGTATTGAAGAAAGAATTCTACATATGAAATCTCGAACTGGCACGATATCATTAGTATTTCAAGAAAACGGAGACATCTTAGATAGTCTTGGTTCATTTGGGTCTATATCATTATCATCAGATACCAAAACATCGTTCAACATGGATGAAAAACATATCAAAGAAGTAGAACAGAGGGAGTCTTTCATACAAGGATTTGATTTTAGTTATAAATTTGATGTAAACGTAAAGCAAGATGTTATGATAACTGGTATAGCAGCTACAGACGACAATCGTTTGCTGTTGTGTGGTGGCGGTAAATGCAATATAATCATCTGCACTCTAGAGGGAAAATACTTGCAAGATTGTAAACTGACTGGTGAACCTTGGGACGTAGCAATCACCCGCGAAAGAGAAGGAAAAGCTGTTGCAACTTTGCCAATCTTGTATGCAATTCAGTTTATCAACACCAACAGTATGGTAGCAGGTAAAATGGTCAAATTCAATTGGCGAGTTTATGGAATCGCAGCAATTGGCAAGAAAATTATTGTTGGTGGGAAGAACAGCTTGCAAATATTGGATACCGACGGTATTAAATTAAGTGAAATAACTGTACCTAGCATGAGTGTATTTTATATACATCCCAGAGAAAATGGGGATTTTTATTATTCGGATTGTACTTATGTTTATTGCATGAAACCGGATGGGCGCCATGTGTTTTGTCAAGATGTATCAAACTTAGCTAGTCCTAGAAATATTGTTACAGACACTCGTGGCAACATTTATGTCGCTGGCCATCGATCCAATAATATTCATCGTTTATCTTCAGACGGCATCAGTTTGGATGTACCTTTGTCAAAAGAGGATGCTATAAATGGACCGTTTGCTATATGTTTCTCAGTAGATCAGAGTAAACTATGTGTATCAAACAGCAATGGAAAGACAATCACGGTTTATGACACGATGTATGCACCTCAATCGAGGGAAAAGGAAATCCAAAACCTTCTTAAATATCTATGAGATGGAATTTATGTTTGTGTTTCGTAACAAAAAAAAGCACAATAATAGAGATATATTAATAGTCTCTAAAGTATTACCTGTAAATAATAGGAGCTCTGTTTCATTGATTTCGATTTCTTGTATCTCCTACCATATAGTCTTTTCAGCGGTTTGGGAAATTGGTATTCAGAAAGTGGGATGTAAAAGAGATTGAAAGAATCATTTGCAACCAGTGATTATAGATATATCAAAATAAAGTACATTTCTATTTCTTATTGTCTTTTTATTTCTAATTTTAGGTTGAAGATTTCAGGGGGGGGATAGCCATCCACTTTCTTGAGAGGCAAGTGGCGGCTGATGGTACCAAGATGGGTTTAAAAACAATAAGTTGTGAAACTAGAGGCTCTAAAGAGCCTGTGTCGCTCACCTTGGTCTATGTGAATATTAAACAAAGGACGCAGATGGATTCATGACAAAATTGTGTTTTGGTGATGGTGATGTGTTTGTACATCTTAATTTACTGAACATTTTTCCTGCTTACAATTATCTCTATCTATAATTAACTTGGCCCAGTAGTTTCAGAGGAGAAGATTTTTGTAAAAGATTACTAAGATTTACGAAAAAATGGTTAAAAATTGACTATAAAGGGCAATAACTCCTAAAGGGGTCAACTGACAATTTCGGTCATGTTGACTTATTTGTAGATCTTACTTTGCCGACATTTATTGTTTTTTACAGTTTATCTCTATCTATAATAATATTCAAGATAATAACCAAAAACAGCAAAATCACCTTAAAATTACCAATTCAGGGGCAGCAACCCAACAACGGGTTGTCCGATTCATCTGAAAATTTCAGGGCAGATAGATCTTGACCTGATAAACAATTTTACTTCTGTCAGATTTGCTTTAAATGCTTTGGTTTTTGAGTTAAAAGCCAAAAACTGAATTTTACCCCTATGTTCTATTTTTAGCCGTGGCGGCCATCTTGGTTGGTTGACCAGGTCACGCCACACATTTTCAAAACTAGATAACCAAATGATGATTGTGGCGAAGTTTGGTTTATTTTGGCCCAGTTGTTTCAGAGGAGAAGATTTTTGTAAAAGATTACTAAGATTTACGAAAAATGGTTAAAAATTGACTATAAAGGGCAATTACTCCTAAAGGGGTCAACTGACCATTTCGGTTATATTGACTTATTTGTAAATCTTACTTTGCTGAACATTATTGCTGTTTACAGTTTATCTCTATCTATAATAATATTCAAGATAATAACCAAAAACAGCAAAATTTCCTTAAAATTACCAATTCAGGGGCAGCAACCCAACAACAGGTTGTTCGATTCATCTGAAAATTTCAGGGCAGATAGATCTTGACCTGATAAACAATTTTACTTCATGTCAGATTTGCTCTAAATGCTTTGGTTTTTGAGTTATAAGCCAAAAACTGCATTTTACCCCTATGTTTTATTTTTAGCTGTGGCGGCCATCTTGGTTGGTTGGCCGGGTCACGCCACACATTTTTTAAACTAGATACCCCAATGATGATTGTGGCCAAGTTTGGTTTAATTTGGCCCAGTTGTTTCAGAGGAGAAGATTTTTGTAAAAGATTACTAAGATTTACGAAAAATGGTTAAAAATTGACTATAAAAGGCAATTACTCCTAAAGGGGTCAACTGACCATTTCGGTTATATTGACTAATTAGTAAATCTTACTTTGCTGAACATTACTGCTGTTTACAGTTTATCTCTATCTATAATAATATTCAAGATAATAACCAAAAACAGCAAAATTTCCTTAAAATTACCAATTCAGGGGCAGCAACCCAATAACGGGTTGTCCGATTCATCTGAAAATTTCAGGGCAGATAGATCTTGACCTGATGAACAATTTTACCCCATGTCAGATTTGCTCTTAATGCTTTGGTTTTTGAGTTATAAGCTAAAAACTGCATTTTACCCCTATGTTCTATTTTTAGCCGTGGCGGCCATCTTGGTTGGTTGACCGGGTCACGCCACACATTTTTAAAACTAAATACCCCAATGATGATTGTGGCCAAGTTTGGTTAAATTTGGCCCAGTAGTTTCAGAGGAGAAGATTTTTGTAAAAGTTTACGGACGACGGACGACGGACGCAGGACGACGGACGACGGACGCAAAGTGATGAGAAAAGCTCACTTGACCTTTCAGGTCAGGTGAGCTAAAAAAGCAGATCACGACTTGTTTTACATTTGTCATTTCGGGGCCTTTTATATCTTACTATGCGGCATGAGTTTTGCTCATTGTTGAAGGTAGTACTGTGACCTATAATTGTCATTTGGTCTCTGGTGGAGAGTTTGTCTCATTGGCAATCATACTACATCTTCTTATTTTTATACACCATTAACAAAAAGAAAACGACGGAAAGACAAACAGCAGTTCACATACGAAATAGTAACATTATAACCGAAATCAAAGATTGGAAAACACCTGGTGTCCAGCAAATATGCGCTTTTCAAAACAACACAACCACCAACTGTTTTTGTATCTAGCAAATATATGCTGCTGTCTAGAACAACATGAACCCCGCCCACTTAAAACAGAAAATGTATGCTTTTCAGAACAACACGAATACCAACTCACTTTGTATCTAGCAAATGTATGCCTGTTTAGAACAACACGAACTCCATTTTACTTGAAATCAAGAAAATATTACGCATTTCAATACAATAAGAATACCAAATCGCTTGGTATCCATCAAATGTATGCTATTCAGAATCTAGCAAAAAACATGCTGTTCAAAATTCCACTTTTCTGAACATACTAAGTATGTACAATGATATCAGCATGTCTTGCTTTTCAGTAATCAACACTTATGGTCCTACATCCCGTCGAAACTTGTATTTAAGGTCGTGCATTTCTCAGATTGCTTACGTCTTTAGACTAAGGAGGACCACCGTTTGAGACGACTGTTTGATATTTTAGTTTTTAGTCTGGAGAAATGTGGTATATGCATTTGTTTTATTTGGGTTTCAACTAGTTTTTAGAAACTGAGAGAACTTTAAGATCGGTTAGTTTGTCATTTTGTCTTTTTGTTAGTTGTTTTGTGCATAGTACAAATCCGACGAGTAACGTCCTTTCCAACTGATGTTTACAGTTTTTTTTTTAAGTATTAGTAGTATCTGTCTAAAACCAGCAGCCTGGAATGCAGCAGTCGTCGTTGTATGATGGACTTTGCTCATTGAATATACCCTAGACGCTATAAATCATGACCACGACAGACACCAAATCATTGTTGGAACAATGACCACTCGATCAACACAAAGGGAGGAATCCTTGTCTGTGGTCTTTCTAAAAAGTTTGAACACATTTGGGCCTCCAGTTTATCATAGCAGACATATGCAGAACACATTTGGGCCTCCAGTTTATCATCGCAGACATATGCAGATTTACTAACAGGAATACAGTATCAATATTTGGTGTTATGTTGGCATTCTTTTTTTGTACGAAGTTAACAATTTGTTTCAAATAATCGACTAACCATACATCCTTCCTTCCATTTAAGAATATAAGTGGCCCAGGAGATTCAAGGGAGATGATGAACATGTGTAAGATAAATGGACGAGGGACGCCAAATTATGATTAGAGTCAAAACCGACCCTTTGTGCGGAACTTCTTATACGTATAGTGCACAAATAATAAAATTATTTATTTAAGAATAAAAAAAAGTGTTTCGTAGTTATAATAGTGTGAATTAAGTGTTTCGTAGTTAAAATATTGTGAATTAAGTGTTTCTTTAGAACAGAACAAACTATATATGAAAAAGGATATAACAAGATCGCAGAACAATGCACGCGGATTTTATGATATACTGTGACGAAAAGTTAAGTAAAGTGTTAAACTAAAGTGCGTATCCGTGTGTTGGTGTTTGTGCTGTGTTGTTGGGTGTATAAGTTTCGGGTCGTACCTTTCACTCGTACACGGACGACAGATGCCAATGATACACTTTTACAGGATTACCCTAATTCAACTGGTAGCGTGATATAGGGAAGCCTGGTCACATAAATAAAATAAATAGATCCTGGTAGTCTGAACGAAGTCTTGTAAGTGAACATAAATACAAAGTCGATTAAAAGTTCAATACTGTATTATTCAAAATCCAAAGTAACAGTGATAAAATTTACAACATCTAAACTGCAGGCTCAACAATACGGTGGCATACTCCGAAATCTCCTACGTACACCTCTCTCGTATACACAAAATCGTAACTCCCTCTTTACAGCTATTTCTCTCTTTTATACCACTTTATTTGCCCTCAGTAGCCCGATTACAAATATGGTTAAATGACTCCTTACAAAGAAATAATCAACCGGAGCTGGGACAACAGGAGCCCGGAGCCCGGAGCAGAGGTCAACCGGAGCCAGGAGCTGAGGTCAACCGGACTGCACCTGTATAAACAGAGCAACGGGGCACCAGATTAACATGATTAATTTGACATTTAACCTCTCATTGAAGGCGATAAAAATAGATTGTAATGAATTACTTTATAACGGTAAATGAGAATAAGTAATCTTATACAATGATAATAAAACCCACTGATGTAACATATAAAAACGTTACAATACGAAGTATATCAACAGTTTAATAGAATTCAAGTAAAAATTAAATTTCTCTTAATCTATGAATATGTTTATAGCTCAAACCGTTTGCTCCCCTTTTAAAAGTATACATCACTGGTCTGCATAACCGTACGAATGCATATTTTGACTTACAACATGTGGAAATACCGCAACTTTATGTTATTTATTTGATAGTGTGGGTGTCAATATGTAATTGAGTGAAAAACTAATGCTATCATATTAATAATTTAAAAAAGAAAACACAGAAGCGTAATCCCTTGTCGTCAATCTGACGCACGATACAATATCTATCAATATACATTGCCAATCTAGGGGAAAAAACTAGTAGATGAAATAAACTGTTCAGGAAGACCAATGCAATGACATATGCAGAACAAAACGTCAATGGTGGTACATTGAACTTTTATTCAATAAATGACGATTTAAAGTAAACAATATATCCACCACAAACTAACATGGAGCTACAATTCAGTCATGAATTTATAATTTCCAGGAACATAACATTGACATATCACGAAACTTCATACACGGAAAAGAAGTTATGTATATTAATCCATGACGCAAAATCATCATAAAGATAACTAAAGATAGAATTTGTGAAATCGGTAGATGTAAACATATTTTAAATCCTTTTCAAAGTGTGCCTTTGATTTACTAGTAATTTTCATTTGAATTACAATCCAGTAAAATGAATTTCGGTATGTCCATTCATCAAATATACAGATAAGTTGTAGCAACATCGAACCTCGCGCTATCTAGAGAACTTTTTGGACCGTCATCTTCACCATCTTCTGATACTGTTGAATATTTCTTTCCAGAAAGCTGAACAATTCTATGGGAGAATTTAAACTTGTACTTCATGTCTTTTGCATATAGTTTATGTTTGGCCTCGCAAAGTTTCAGTGCGTTTTTGACAACAGGATGCTGGTTCATATCCTGATTATTTAATGCTAAATGGAATGACAACGGTGAAGATACAGGCAGTTCAAACATTGTAAATCCTGATGGGTTTAAAACACATCCTATTACAGTTGATTCTTCAAACGAGTCTATGAGAGTGAATAATCCAGAAAAAGATTTCAGTCTAGGCTTTTGTTTACTACTGATGAAGCGCACTACCATAGGAAACTTTTGATTTTCAATAAGATATTTACTGTTGACAGACATTCTGTTATTGTTCGTCAATACCTCGGAAAATTCCCCAGGATGATGGAAGGGAATTAAAATCTGAACATCCTTTTCGTCCTTACATTTTAGATAACTATGTTGAACAATATCCTTTCTTGACCTGGTAGTTCCAGTACAAACACTGTCGACGATGAACACGCTGCCAGGAGTGTAATCTACTTTGGTATAATCGTTTGTGGCAACATTTTCACCAATGCGGAAGGCTGTAAATTTTGTCATGTTTAGGAAAGCTCGCACATTATTTTTAGCCATTGCTTCAATACTCCTGAAGCATGTATTATCTTTGCATGTTCTTGACTGCAATCTTAGAAATAAACCTGAAAAATTCTTGAATTTGAAGATATGTGGAAAGAAATATATCATCAAAGCATATCTTGGTTTCATTTAAACAGTTGAACAAGAAAACACTTATATCAAGAGAGGGATGGAAAATTAAATTACTTTTCAAATCAAATGTTAAATATTGTATTATTTGGACTTCCTATCTTTTATTTTTTACATAACAAGTATAATGTCTATTCAGATTGTAATATAATTTATTTTAATACATTTATTGTATATCAATGTTTTTCTACAATACCGGAAGAAAATATGATACAATATATTTTATAAAGAAACACCATACCTTCATAATCAGCAGGTATAACAATAGTTTCATTACTCTCAATGTATTTGTTTGACACTGCATCAATACCGATATTTTTGGCCAGCAGTTTCCGAATGGTTCTTTTGTCATAAAAAACCAGTGGGTTGCCAAAGTTTATAGGCAGTGGAGAGTCAGATGTAATCCTCACAGAATCCTGGTTACATTTCACAATCTGAGGTAGACTGAACTGTTTTAATATCTCTTCTGTTGTATACTCCTGGTTGCTCCATTGTGCTTTCTTAGGCTCCTCACGAATACTTTCTTGTCTAGCCACAGCTTGGCGTAAGCGAGTCTTCTTCCTTACAGATCCCGACATTTTAGAAGAAGTTCGTCATAACATTATATTTATGTATTGTCATAGAAAACATGCGATCACTTTCTTTTTTAAACAAAATGTTTCCGGACAGTGGACAAATCTCTTCACATATGTTAGTGAAGTGTAAATTATTTGTTTTCCGTGTATTGAAACGCACTGATTCAGTCTTGTGTGTACTATCCCATTGTGGCAGTTATTTTGGTTCAGTAATTATTTTTAAATCCCATTCATTAATACACAAACGAACAAGAACTTGTCCATCAGATTTTTTATTGACATAACACTTCATAGATAAACTGGTTTCTCACCCTTACTTTTGAAACTCTAAAATTGATTCAAAATCGCCCAGAATTTATACTACCTTTAATTAGGACATTTGACGAATCTGAATTTTATCATTCATAAATCATCAGACTTCATTAAAATTTGTAAAAAAAAGAAAAGTTCATTTTTGATTGTACTTGATCATTGAACCTGATAATCCCAGTTATATTACTCAAATGTACTAATTACAATCTTGTAGGAAATTTGATTTATAAGGCACTTCAAACGTCCTTCATGCGTTAAAATATTTATACTTGGTAAATATTGGACAACATGAGTTTGAAAGACTTTCTCCAGTTTGACCTTTTTGTAAACTTTTGTAAAAAATAATACGGTCCACAAAAATGCCAGGTTTACCACCCTTTGCTTTGCGAATACTTATTATAGTATTTAGGTTAGGATATGACGAAGATGTGCAGGAAAAGTCATATAGGAGTGGTATATAAAATATATATAATTTGTATACAAGTTACTTTTTGTGCAACTTATCCTTTTTTTGACAATCACCCTACAGAAGGTGATATAAATTTACCTTCAATAATTATAACCAGCTGATGTTTTACTAAAAAATATTTATCAGTATACTACAACCTATATAGATATAAGAAGATGTGGTATGAGTGCCAATGAGACAACTCTCCATCCAAGTCAAAATTTATAAAAGTAAACCATTATAGGTCACAGTACGGTCTTCAACACGGAGCCTTGGCTCACACCGAACCTAGCATAGTTTTTAGGCACTGCCCTCTCTGCCCTAAGCTACAAATGAGGACACCAGATTGAGTTTGATTCTGTTCAAATTTTTTGCTATTAGGAGATTCTAAGACCCCAAATATCCAACAGTGTCTTATATAAACTTTATATCAGTGTTGTATATAAAAGACTGTATAATAATGTGACCATCGCTCAAATAGTACCCACGGGGACTTGAAGTCTACCACCAGCGCACAGTTACATTTTCTGTTAGTTTGTTTGCTGAACTTTTTCTCTAGATATTCTACACCTGTTTTTAAAAGTAACAGTACGTCGACTGGCTTCAAAGATTTTTTCTGCATTTTGTTGAGCTTTGTATTATCTTTATCAATATTGTATAAAGAAATGCATTCTGGTCTTGGAACTATCTTTTTCAAATGAATGACCCAACTTACAGGTCATTGCGGGTTGCAAAATATCCGTATTTTCCATATATGTGACATTTGAATACAATTTACGGTGATAAATAGCCTAATTCGACATAAACCGTTTCGTATGATGGAATTTAAACCATATCACATCAACATCTAGCCATTATAGTCATACATTAAGAAATTCAAGCCGCATACGAATCCTTTCTTGTTGTTTCAAGTCATTAAACATGTAAAGAAACATCTCAGTCAGGTGTTACAATTTGTACAGTAGTGACGTTTTCTGTCCGATTGACAGGGCTGTCAGAGCTAGCTTAGACACCTATGTTGACGTGTATGACAATTTAATTATAAACAAACCTTTTTTTTTATCTGCAACACAAAATTGTTAGGTTTAAAGAAATATTTCAATGATATATACAGTCTTAACACACAAATCGCACAGGTCGGTTTCTTCAAGTAGACCTTAAAGAAAAACGTGCATTCTTATAGTTTATTACTAAGAAACATGTGAAGTTTAAAATTGAGAATGGAAATGTGGAATGTGTCAAAGAGACAACAACCCGACCACAGAACAGACAACAGCAAAATTTGTATACAACTTTTCATTTATGCAGCTTTATGTAAACAGCTGCAGGATATCATACCTAAGAAGTTATTCAATAGAATATATTTTGTATTCTTTAAGAGATAGGTAAAAATGTTGATATTATCTTAATTCTAATTCGTTTTTATTGAAATTTACTCATCCGTCATATTTAAAAACATTTTTCTTTAGAAAACATTTAAATATGGCGACATTAAAGATGTGTAGGTTTATGAGTGTGTATATATCTACTGTGTGACCGGAATTATAACTAAGTAAACACATTATCAATAAATTCATTGAAAAAATGGAAGAAGATGATCATTACGGTGCCGAAAGAGTGATAAAAACCAGAAAATTCAAAGGAGGCAAGCGTAGGTTACAAACATCCAATAAAACGTTAGACTTCAAATGGAGTACACATTCTTATACTTTGAATCATATAACAAATAACTTTAGACTTCCTTGTGCTGTCAGGTGTAGTGTTGAGTCCTGTAGTCTAGATTGGAATCTTTTACACTTTGACCTATCTCAGCCTTTGCTGCTTCACAGCCACAGATCAGCAAAGAAGGTGAAAGCTGCGGTCATGAGACTAGACTCCGAGAAAGGAGAACTCCAGCAGACTGGCAGACATGTTGTCATACCACAGGACTATAGTGGTAAGTAAAACCTATAATAACAGATGTCTGTATCATTGCGGCGTTATTGTATTGTTTCCTTATCCTTTGGTTTGTGGGGCTGCGGCTGATCAGGAGATAGCGTTGTGAAATTGTCTAGAAAATGTGTATTTTTGTTTACTTAATTCTTTATTGCCTTATTCAAGTTAATGGTCATCCTCTTGGCAGCTGTATTATACTGTTTTTATTTATTGTGTGTTCAGGTTCTACGACGTCAACGGGAAGGTTCGTGCACACGTAAAACAAGTTAACCCCTCTACATAACATTTATGCCTGTAGTGTACCAAGTCAGGCCATCTGAATTATGCGTTGTTTTTTGTTGTTGGTCTTTGTTTGTACGTTTATTTTGGAGGAGTCATGGTGGTTGACTGATGTGGCCTGTTGTATTATTGGATTCCTGTTGTCTTATTTTATGTATTGTGAATACACCAACTGGAATTTTTTATAGCTTTTCCCAGTCGTGACGGTTTCTATAGAAGGTCCTGTGCGTATACTTAATGTCCTCATAGTTAGGAAACCTGACTTGCACAGTTTTCCAAAATTCACATGAGTGAAACACATATGGTGAAAAGATGCAGACAATCTCACCTCGTACGAAGAAAAAGGACGAAAAGACGAACAGAGAATCATAAATCAAAATACAGGTGACCAGACAACTGGCGTAGGAGCGGGGGACAAGGGATGCAATTTGGTTAATAAATATTATTGAAAATATAAAATGAAAATGAATGTTAAAACTGACTCACTTTTAGACTATTAGACTATAAACAAGTTTTTTGACTTACAGTAGTACCCCCCCCCCCCCCCCCCCCTTTTCAGTCTACCCCTACTCTATTGCCACCCCTTTCAGTCAACACATACACTATTGCGGACACAAAGAAAATTCTATAAAACACTGTATTGTATTCAACTAAAAGAGGAACCAAAAATACAATGTATAATGTTTAGTGCTTGGACCCATGTCATATCTTATTTCCTATGTTATCATTTATTCTATATGTCTATATCCATCTCACAATTGATGCTCATTTTTTTCCATTTAGGTTGGTTTACTTTATTGAATAATCCTACAGAAAAGTACTTACCTGGTACCACACTAGAGTCAGTAGCAGAAAAGGATACAGACCAAGTTTTGGTAGCAAACAGTATCAGTTGTTTGTGTTTAACAGACAGCGAACAAGGAGAAAAACAGACAGAAAGAAAACAAATCTCTTCTGGTGAAATTCTGCAAATAAAACGAACTGATGTTGCTGGATCTTTAACGAGAAGATCCCCGCCTTCCAAATATTTGGTTTGCACAGACGAAAAAGACAAAGAAATGTATTTACCAATTTCACAAAATGGAAAATTTTACAAAGTTAACAAATCGGTAACGAATGATGGATTATTTCAAATTAAAGACGTCTTAGACGATCGATCTCATTTACCAGTGAACATTCGGCATGTGATAGGAGAAGTCCCGCTCTTTTCCTCTGAATATTCCAGTTACCTACAATGTTATGACATTATTGAGGAGGAAACAGCACTTGCTTCTACAATGGATGACGATTTATTACTTCTTGAATTGCAAATCAAAACACCAATGAAATTTTACATTGCTTTAAACGAAGCTGTTATGAAGCAGAGTGAATATTATTCAGATGCATTTCAAAACTGTGAAACGGAAGGTGAGGACTATATTCGGGGTATCAAATTTTCATTCACACTCTCTCCGGAGTCGTACTCTGTGTGTAATTCTCTCCTTTCACTACACGACGATGATTCTATGACGGAATCATACTATGGCACTGACAGTGACTTGGGAGAAGAAGATGCACAATCAGAATTTACAATAACGTGGGATCCGACAAACACTGAAAACTCTGAAAAACCAGAAACAAAGCATGTGCCTAAAATTTTTAACAGCAGTATTAACAGTCCAAAGACTGAAGACAATGTACGGCAATGGAACGAAGAACCTGATACTGTGTAAACATGGTTAAATTAGATTACTGTTACTTGTATGATTAATAGATGCCGTCGGCATACTTTTGATCTCGCGCGTTCTTTTAGAACACGTGTCGTTGGGTGTCATACGCTTATACAACAAATAAAAACACATAGGAAATATAAATCAGAATAAACTATACTGAATCAACCTTTACTTTTGAGATGCTCTGCACTTAAAAAGAGCTGAACATGTATTTAAAATGCTTTTCAATTTCATTTAACACCTCATAGATTTGTTCAAAAAGCCACGAGCTGCAGCAATGTGAAAATACCTTTAAAAAAAGTGCCACATGTCCGTGAAAAAAAACCAACAAACAAATACATCCAAAATTTGAAAGAGATCTCAGGACTTTTCAGAGTCGTGTTTTGTAAAACATAGTTGCAATATTGTTTCTTGCTGTATTAGCTTCAAGCTGATTAACATCTCTCAAATAAAGGTACTAGTTTAAAATAAAACGCTCTGAATATGTGATTTTATGTTTTTTGGCAACTAGCACCGATTTGAAAACTTTCAGGAACTGATTTTTTTTTTTAAATTCCGTATGGTCTGTTATAAAAAATAGTATCTGGTATCTAACGATGTAAGACTCGAAAACATGTCGCTAGTGAGTTGAGACACAGCCAAATCGTATTGGTCATCGAGTTGAGACGTAGACAAATCGTATCGGTCATCCAAAGTCGTGATGGTGACCGTAACATTAAGTACTATCGATTTAGTTCGTTTTTCCTCATAACTTTGTTGGAGCAGTTTTTGTGTCAAAAGCACACCTCTGCTCATGAAGTATGTATAGTTTAACATTCACGAACGTAATTTATTAATTGAAACCATAACGTTTGTCATAGGTTCTATTTTGAAGTCGTCCATCCGTGTCAATATCGAGGAAAAGATCAAGATATGAAACAGACCTTCTAGTTTCCGTAGTATCCTTAATATCAAGTTCAATGGGATTTAGGAGATGCAAGCACTCACTGAAATGTAGGTTATTGAGTGACAAGACATCAATAATATATGAAAGTGAAATGAAAGAACTTTGCAATGTTTTTTTCTTTTTGTCTTTGAGTAGGTTCTGTATGAATTCTGCCTCATATATATATATAAAGGAGTATACAAACAAGTCAGTCAGTAGGTGGCACAATAAGTACTCGTCGGAATACAGACTGTCCGTTGGAATATAACACTTATTAGATTTTGTTTTAATCGGTTATCACAAAATTAATGTTTTTCAATGGTAAATTTTTTATAGTGTCAAAGGCTAAACTGCCATCGGTAATCAACAAGAAAGCCACGCATCTGAAATGCAAAGACTTTCTTAATATATGACCAGAAATGAATTCGATTGGTACAGTAGTTTTATTTTCTAAAGAAAGATGTATTTTCATATATGCCATAAGTCCAGTGTAAAAAAAAATCCTGGTGATGCAGATGTCAGCTGTATACGATTTCTACAGAAACTTTGAAATTTCTTCCAAAATTGTAGATGCAAGCATAAAAACATTACAACCGATCGCGAGACAATGTAAAGTAGTTACAGTTAACCCAGACATTTTACGAGGCCTTCATCTCTCGCAATCTAGCAGTATCATTTCAGAAGCAAAACGGGTCTAAATAGAATAGCTAAAATCGTCTAATATGAAACAAATATAGGAGCTAGCTTGTGACCATAGACAACAAATTAAAAAAGCAACTTAGATCCAGGAACCGTTGGACAATACAGAAGAAAACTAAAAAAACCCAGTCAGACGCTCGTCATGGTGCTGCCGCCATTTAAAAATATTTCGAAAGATACAATTGTCTCCAGCGTCAACAATAGTAATCTGATTTTCAGAGAACGATGGCTCTAAGACTAAATAACGGCATACGATCTCTAATCATAAGTGTCATTGAAGATAGGATTGAATCGTAGATTAATACTTTAAAATCAAAGCACGCTTTTACATGAAAAAGTCCTCTTTCTAAATGCATTAAAGGAACTATTGACAATTCTAGAAACCTAGATCATTAAATACTTGTTGAGTTCTTAGAATTAAATACAGAACTGTTTTCTCGATGGCGAAAAAGAATAACAAGCAACAGAAAAAAAGGTAAGAAAAAAAATAACTGCCGTTTATACTGATCAAGTCCTTCGACCATTTACTTCAGGCTGCAGAGTCATCAGAAATAGGCGCCAAAACAATACATGTATTAACATTTTGTGGCACTAATTTTCGACGGTAAAAGTATGCTGCATTCCAATAGTTTCTAATTTCATGATTTGGAGTTAAGTGTGGCGTCCTTTTTGCTGAACTAGTATACATTATTGTTTAGGGGCCAGCTGAAGCCCGCCTCCTGGCGGGATTATCTTGCTGAAGACCCATTGGTGGCCTTGGTCGGGTAATATTCCTCCAAGGTTTTTTATTATATATATTGATATATATATTGATATTCATTAAAATGATAATGATAACATATTAAATTAACAATAGTTCATCTATACACATACTCTCTAAATAATGTAACAGGAAAACATTAACAATTCGTCAAATGCTGACAAAAATATAACCAGCGAAGTTCTCATACTTTGGTACACATAAACTTCACAAAACAATTCAATACCTTTTAAAGACAGATTTGCTGCCTAACTATTTAAATAAATACATTTGACAAACCTTTTTTGAAAATAAAATATAAACATCTATTCTGGATAAAAGGTTCTAAGTATGAATCAAGGCAGATTCAGGCTAATTTTATTAGTTCTCAGTCAATACACAAATAATGCTTTTAAAAGGCTTTCATTCATGGTTTGAGGAAATTTTGACGTTCCATTTACACATATTACAGCAACTATACACATTTACTTCATGGTTTTTATTCCATGTAATCAAGTCTGTGAAAAGATACATTTAAATCCCACAAATCCATCGAATCTCTGAATATTCAACAAAAAGTAAATTTTATCACAATATTTGGATTTATAAGAAACCAACAGCCCAGTGTCAATAAATAAAAGAACTGTATGATTTGACAGTGAATATTTATTTAAACCTTTTTCAATCAGTCACTCCTACCACTTTTGCTACCTTTCCTCCCATTTGTCACTCCTTGGACCAATTTATTACCCAGTTATTTTGATATACATATAAGAATAACATAAAATGTCTCCAGCGTCAACAATAGTAATCTGATTTTCAGAGAAAAATCATTATGGCTCTAAGGCTAAATAACGGTATACGATCTCTAATCATAAGTGTAATTGAAGATAGGATTAATACTTTAAATCAAGGCACGCTTTACCATGAAAAAATCCTCTATCTGAATGCGAAGAAACCTAGATTATTAAATACTTGTTGAGTTCTAAGAATTAAATACAGAACTGTTTTCTCGAGGACGAGAAAGAATAACAAGCAACAGAAAAAAAGGTTAGAAAAAAAATAACTGCCATTTACACTGAACAAGCCCTTCGACCGTTTACTTCAGGCTGCAGAGTGATCAGAAAGGTAAACGGACAAAAAGTCAAAGGACAAAAAATCACATGAGAGAAAGTCACAAATTTAATAGGACAAAAAGTCACGAATAATTTTTTAAAAATTCTTTGAATATATGAGAGAAAGTATTGAAATAATTTCTTTTCTTTTTTTTTTTTTTTTTTTTTACATATATTCATTTTACAGTTAAGGAAATTGTTCATAAGCGTTGATAAATGAAGATTTATCAAATTTTAATCATGCAAAGGATATATTCCTTGTCACCATGAAGCCATTTAGGTACCAAGCCACTTTGACAAATTGTTTTCATCAAAATTATATGAGCATTATTGTTTTTTTTTCAGAATAAATTTTGTTTACAAAGTTGCTTTATATATAATAATTCAATAAAAATACAATTCATGTTTTTAAAGATAAGTGTTTTCTTATTCAATGAAAAATAATCTCAAAACTGAATTGTGACTTTTTGTCCGTAACTTTTTGTCTGTGACTTTTTGTCCTGTGACTTTCTGTCCTACATTCATCAAAAATAGGCGCCAAAAAACAATATATGTTTAACATATTGTGGCACTTATTTTCGACGATAAAAGTATGCTGCATTCCAATAGTTTCTAATTGGACTGGGGATTGCCAGTGAAACTTCAAAAGATAAACAAGTTTTAATTAAAACACCAAAAAAATTGACGTCTTTAAACTTAAACGAATTCAGTTAGATGTATTTTGGAAAATACAAGAGATTTCCAAAACAAGTTACAGACATATATGTTCCATCTTCAATAAGGGAGTATAAGTATACTTTTTGGAAATTCACATCACAAGTTCAGATATAAATAGATAAAAAAAATAAAAATAGTTATCCAATGGAATCTACACACAGTGGTACCATGTTTATTGACACCAAAGGCTTCTCCTATATTTCATACACAAACTATCACGTATGTTGTCAATACCAAAGCAAGATGACTTAGAAGGATTAAAGTATTATGTTCGATGTAACAAAAAGTAAGTATTTTGCTCCCCAAACATGGGTTAACAGCCGGGACAATCTGCTTCAACAACCACAAGCTGTTTATTACAAATATAGCTTAAACTTATTAAATGCAAAAAGTACAATAACATTTTCTGAATGAAGGCCTTAAGAATCCAAAATAACATCAAACAGTTATAAGGAAATTACAGTTAAACTTATCTTTATTTGGTTTATATCAAAATAATGAACTTGAGAAACTAACATCAACCCCATCTTACCATATTGTGTATGGAGTAAATAAGATAGAATAAGAAACCTCACTAGTCACAAAATACCAACAAGAACACAGAAAAGCAAAATCAAATAGGGAAAATTCAAAATAGACCTTTCTATAAGAGATGACTACTACGGTCAAAGGGACATAACTTTAATTATTTTGCTTTAAGCTAATTTCAAAGTTTAGCTACTACAAACCATTATTTACCTTACAAAACACATCATCTCCAAATCTCTGCATTCAGAGTTGACTTTTAAAGGTTGGTGTGATATTTCTATAATCTGCTTTATTAATAATTACAAAAACTCTACTTAAACATAGTAAACATTTGCAAAAATAAGATCCATAAATGCAAAGCTTGATGGTCTCCTGAACAGGTTGGTTTATATATTTGGACATATGTACGTCTGTGTCACAGATGACTGACATGTTTGATCATTGTTATTTGTAATAGTCATTAACCATCCCTTATTTATGAGTTATGTCAGGATGTGTAGAAAAGTAATTCCATTCAATGGATGTTAAGTGCACAGGAAATTCATCATTATTATGAGTCAAAACATTTCTGTAATAACTTATGGCTACCAAACTTCCTGTAAATGGAACTGAAGTTTGATGTAAGTGTTTTTAAAATTTTGTTTCAATTGCATGATTTGGAGTTTAGTGTAACGTCCTTTTTGGTGAAATAGTATACATTTTTGTTAAGGGCCAGCTGAAGCCAACATCCGGATGCAGGATTTTCTTGCTAAAGACCCATTGGTGGCCAAGGGCTTTTTTCTGCTCTTTGGTCAGGTTGTTGTCTCTTTGCAATTCCCTGTTTCCATTCTCTTTTCTTTTTCAAACAAAGTGGCCAATGTAATAATCATTATCATTATATTCCAAGGCTTTTTATTATATATATTGATATTCATTAAAATGACAATGATAACATATTAATTTAACAATAGTTCATCTATACACATACTTTCTATCTTACACCATACTTCTAAATAATGTAACAGGAAAACCTTAATAATTCGTCAAATGCTGACAAAAATATAACCAGCGAAATTCTCATACTTTGGTACACATAAACTTCACAAAACAGTTCAATACCTTTTAAAGACAGACTTGCTACCTAACTATTTAAATAAATACATTTGACAAACCATTTTTGAAAATAAAATATAAACATCTATTCTGGATAAAAGGTTCTTAGTATGAATCAAGGCAGATTCAGGCTAATTTTATTAGTTCTCAGTCAATACACAAATAATGCTTTTAAAAGGCTTTCATTCATGGTTTGAGGAAATTTTGACGTTCCATTTACACATATTACAGCAACTATACACATTTACTTCATGGTTTTTATTCCATGTAATCAAGTCTGTGAAAAGATACATTTAAATCCCACAAATCCATTGAATCTCTGAATATTCAACAAAAAGTAAATTTTATCACAATATTTGGATTTATAAGAAACCAACAGCCCAGTGTCAATAAATAAAAGAACTGTATGATTTGACAGTGAATATTTATTTAAACCTTTTTCAATCAGTCACTCCTACCACTTTTGCTACCTTTCCTCCCATTTGTCACTCCTTGGACCAATTTATTACCCAGTTATTTTGATATACATATAAGAATAACATAAAATGTCTCCAGCGTCAACAATAGTAATCTGATTTTCAGAGAAAAATCATTATGGCTCTAAGGCTAAATAACGGCATACGATCTCTAATCATAAGTGTCATTGAAGATAGGATTAATACTTTAAAATCAAGGCACGCTTTAACATGAAAAAGTCCTCTTTCTAAATGCAAAGAAACCTAGATTATTAAATACTTATTGAGTTCTAAGAATTAAATACAGATCGAACTGTTTTCTCGAGGATGAGAAAGAATAACAAGCAACAGAAAAAATAGGTCAGAAAAAAGATAACTGCCATTTACAAAAACAAAAATGTATACTGAACAAGCCCTTCGACCGTTTACTTCAGGTTGCAGAGTGATCAGAAAGGTAAACGGACAAAAAGTCACAGGAGAGAAAGTCACAAATTTAATAGGACAAAAAGTCACGAATAAAATTCTTTGAATATATGAGAGAAAGTTCTTGAAATAATTTCTTTTCTTTTTTTTTACATATATTCATTTTACAGTTAAGGAAATTGTTCATAAGCGTTGATAAATGAAGATTTATCAAATTCTAATCTTGCAAAGGATATATTCCTTGTCACCATGAAGCCATTTAAGTACCAAGCCACTTTGACAAATTGTTTTCATCACAATTATATGAGCATTATTGGGGTTTTTTTTCAGAATAAATTTTGTTTACAAAGTTGCTTTATATATAATAATTCAATACAAGTACAATTCATGTTTTTAAAAATAAGTGTTTTCTTATTCAAAGAAAAATAATCTCAAAACTGAATGGTGACTTTTTGTCCGTACTTTTTTGTCTGTGACTTTTTGTCCTGTGACTTTCTGTCCTACACTCATAAAAAATAGGCGCCAAAAACAATACATGTATTTAATAACATATTGTGGCACTAATTTTCAACGATAAAAGTATGCTGCATTCCAATAGTTTCTAATTGGACTGGGGATTGCCAGTGAAACTTCAAAAGATAAACAAGCTTTAATTAAAACACAAAAAAATTGACGTCTTTAAACTTAAACGAATTCAGTTAGATGTATTTTGGAAAATACAAGAGATTTCCAAAACAAGTTACAGACATATATTTTCCACCTTCAATAAGGGAGTATTAGTATACTTTTTGGAAATTCACATCACAAGTTCAGATATAAAAAGATAAAAAAAATAAAAATAGTTATCCAATGGAATCTACACACAGTGGTACCATGTTTATTGACACCAAAGGCTTCTCCTATATTTCATACACAAACTATCACGTATGTTGTCAATACCAAAGCAAGATGACTTAGAAGGATTAAAGTATTATGTTCGATGTAACAAAAAGTAAGTATTTTGCTCCCCAAACATGGGTTAACAGCCGGGACAATCTGCTTCAACAACCACAAGCTGTTTATTACAAATATAGCTTAAACTTATTAAATGCAAAAAGTACAATAACATTTTTCTGAATGAAGGCCTTAAGAATCCAAAATAACATCAAACAGTTATAAGGAAGTTACAGTTAAACTTTTTCTCTTTATTTGGTTTACCGGTATATCAAAATAATGAACTCGAGAAACTAACATCAACCCCATCTTACCCCATTGTGTATGGAGTAAATAAGATAGAGAAAGAAACCTCGCTAGTCACAAAATACCAACAAGAACACAGAAAAGCAAAATCAAATAGGGAAAGTTCAAAATAGACCTTTCTATAAGAGATGACTACTACGGTCAAAGGGACATAACTTTAATTATTTTGCTTTAAGCTAATTTCAAAGTTTAGCTACTACAAACCATTATTTATCTTACAAAACACATCATCTCCAAATCTCTGCATTCAGAGTTGACTTTTAAAGGTTGGTGTGATATTTCTATATTCTGCTTTATTAATAATTACAAAAACTCTACTTAAACATAGTAAACATTTGCAAAAATAAGATCCATAAATGCAAAGCTTGATGGTCTCCTGAACAGGTTGGTTTATATATTTGGACATATGTACGTCTGTGTCACAGATGACTGACATGTTTGATCATTGTTATTTGTAATAGTCATTAACCATCCCTTATTTATGAGTTATGTCAGGATGTGTAGAAAAGTAATTCCATTCAATGGATGTTAAGTGCACAAGAAATTCATCATTATTATGAGCCAAAACATTTCTGTAATAACTTATGGCTACCAAACTTCCTGTAAATGGAACTGAAGTTTGATGTAAGTGTTTTTAAAATTTTGTTTCAATTGCATGATTTGGAGTTAAGTGTAGCGTCCTTTTTGGTGAACTAGTATACATTTTTGTTTAGGGCCAGCTGAAGCCAACATCTGGATGTGGGATTTTCTTGCTAAAGACCCATTGGTGGCCTAGGGCTTTTTTCTGCTCTTTGGTCGGGTTGTTGTCTCTTTGACACATTCCCTGTTTCCATTCTCTTTTCTTTTTCAAACAAAGTGGCCAATGTAATAATCATAATCATTATATTCAAAGGCTTTTTATTATATATATTGATATTCATTAAAATGACAATGATAACATATTAAATTAACAATAGTTCATCTATACACATACTTTCTATCTTACACCATACTTCTAAATAATGTTACAAGAAAACCTTAATAATTCGTCAAATGCTGACAAAAAAATAACCAGCGAAGTTCTCATACTTTGGTACACATAAACTTCACAAAACAGTTCAATACCTTTTAAGACAGATTTGCTACCTAACTATTTAAATAAATACATTTGACAAACCATTTTTGAAAATAAAATAAAAACATCTATTCTGGATAAAAGGTTCTTAGTATGAATCAAGGCAGATTCAGGCTAATTTTATTAGTTCTCAGTCAATACACAAATAATGCTTTTAAAAGGCTTTCATTCATGGTTTGAGGAAATTTTGACGTTCCATTTACACATATTACAGCAACTATACACATTTACTTCATGGTTTTTATTCCATGTAATCAAGTCTGTGAAAAGATACATTTAAATCCCACAAATCCATCGAATCTCTGAATATTCAACAAAAAGTAAATTTTATCACAATATTTGGATTTATAAGAAACCAACAGCCCAGTGTCAATAAATAAAAGAATTTTATGATTTGACAGTGAATATTTATTTAAACCTTTTTCCATCAGTCACTCCTACCACTTTTGCTACCTTTCCTCCCATTTTTCACTCCTTGGACCAATTTATTACCCAGTTATTTTGATATACATATAAGAATAACATAAAATGTCTCCAGCGTCAACAATAGTAATCTGATTTTCAGAGAAAAATCATTATGGCTCTAAGGCTAAATAACGGCATACGATCTCTAATCATAAGTGTCATTGAAGATAGGATTAATACTTTAAAATCAAGGCACGCTTTAACATGAAAAAGTCCTCTTTCTAAATGCAAAGAAACCTAGATTATTAAATACTTATTGAGTTCTAAGAATTAAATACAGATCGAACTGTTTTCTCAGGATGAGAAAGAATAACAAGCAACAGAAAAAATAGGTTAGAAAAAAGATGTCTGCCATTTATACTGAACAAGCCCTTCGACCGTTTACTTCAGGCTGGCCTGCAGAGTGATCAGAAAGGTAAACGGACAAAAAGTCACAGGAGAGAAAGTCACAAATTTAAAAGGACAAAAAGTCACGAATAAAATTCTTTGAATATATGAGAGAAAGTTCTTGAAATAATTTCTTTTCTTTTTTTTTTTTTTTTTTACATATATTCATTTTACAGTTAAGGAAATTGTTCATAAGCGTTGATAAATGAAGATTTATCAAATTTTAATCTTGCAAAGGATATATTCCTTGTCACCATGAAGCCATTTAAGTACCAAGCCACTTTGACAAATTGTTTTCATCACAATTATATGAGCATTATTGGAGTTTTTTTCAGAATAAATTTTGTTTACAAAGTTGCTTTATATATAATAATTCAATAAAAGTACAATTCATGTTTTTAAAAATAAGTGTTTTCTTATTCAAAGCAAAATAATCTCAAAACTGAATTGTGACTTTTTGTCCGTAACTTTTTGTCTGTGATTTTTTGTCCTGTGACTTTCTGTCCTACATTCATAAAAATATGCGCCAAAAACAATACATGTATTTAATAACATATTGTGGCACTAATTTTCAACGATAAAAGTATGCTGCATTCCAATAGTTTCTAATTGGACTGGGGATTGCCAGTGAAACTTCAAAAGATAAACAAGCTTTAATTAAAACACAAAAAAATTGACGTCTTTAAACTTAAACGAATTCAGTTAGATGTATTTTGGAAAATACAAGAGATTTCCAAAACAAGTTACAGACATATATTTTCCACCTTCAATAAGGGAGTATTAGTATACTTTTTGGAAATTCACATCACAAGTTCAGATATAAAAAGATAAAAATAGTTATCCAATGGAATCTACACACAGTGGTACCATGTTTATTGACACCAAAGGCTTCTCCTATATTTCATACACAAACTATCACGTATGTTGTCAATACCAAAGCAAGATGACTTAGAAGGATTAAAGTATTATGTTCGATGTAACAAAAAGTAAGTATTTTGCTCCCCAAACATGGGTTAACAGCCGGGACAATCTGCTTCAACAACCACAAGCTGTTTATTACAAATATAGCTTAAACTTATTAAATGCTAAAAGTTCAATAACATTTTTCTGAATGAAGGCCTTAAGAATCCAAAATAACATCAAACAGTTATAAGGAAGTTACAGTTAAACTTTTTCTCTTTATTTGGTTTACCGGTATATCAAAATAATGAACTCGAGAAACTAACATCAACCCCATCTTACCCCATTGTGTATGGAGTAAATAAGATAGAGAAAGAAACCTCGCTAGTCACAAAATACCAACTAAGAACACAGAAAAGCAAAATCAAATAGTGAAAGTTCAAAATAGACCTTTCTATAAGAGATGACTACTACGGTCAAAGGGACATAACTTTAATTATTTTGCTTTAAGCTAATTTCAAAGTTTAGCTACTACAAACCATTATTTATCTTACAAAACACATCATCTCCAAATCTCTGCATTCAGAGTTGACTTTTAAAGGTTGGTGTGATATTTCTATATTCTGCTTTATTAATAATTACAAAAACTCTACTTAAACATAGTAAACATTTGCAAAAATAAGATCCATAAATGCAAAGCTTGATGGTCTCCTGAACAGGTTGGTTTATATATTTGGACATATGTACGTCTGTGTCACAGATGACTGACATGTTTGATCATTGTTATTTGTAATAGTCATTAACCATCCCTTATTTATGAGTTACGTCAGGATGTGTAGAAAAGTAATTCCATTCAATGGATGTTAAGTGCACAAGAAATTCATCATTATTATGAGCCAAAACATTTCTGTAATAACTTATGGCTACCAAACTTCCTGTAAATGGAACTGAAGTTTGATGTAAGTGTTTTTAAAATTTTGTTTCAATTGCATGATTTGGAGTTAAGTGTAAGTCCTTTTTGGTGAACTAGTATACATTTTTGTTTAGGGCCAGCTGAAGCCAACATCTGGATGTGGGTTTTTCTTGCTAAAGACCCATTGGTGACCTAGGGCTTTTTTCTGCTCTTTGGTCGGGTTGTTGTCTCTTTGACACATTCCCTGTTTCCATTCTCTTTTCTTTTTCAAACAAAGTGGCCAATTTAATAATCATAATCATTATATTCCAAGGCTTTTTATTATATATATTGATATTCTTAAAATGACAATGATAACATATTAAATCAACAATAGTTCATCTATACACATACTTTCTATCTTACACCATACTTTTAAATAATGTAACAAGAAAACCTTAATAATTTGTCAAATGCTGACAAAAAAATAGCCAGCGAAGTTCTCATACTGTGGTACACATAAACTTCACAAAACAATTCAACACCTTTTGCAGACAGATTTGCTGCCTAACTATTTAAATGAATACATTTGACAAACCATTTTTGAAAATAAAATATAAACATCTATTCTGGATAAAAGGTTCTAAGTATGAATCAAGGCATATTCAGGCTAATTTAATTAGTTCTCAGTCAATACACAAAAATGCTTTTAAAAGACCACCATTCATGGTTTGAGGAAATTTGATGTTCCATTTACACATATTACAGCAACTATACACATTTACTTCATGGTTTTTATTCCATGTTATCAAGTCTGTGAAAAGATACATCTAAATCACACAAATCCATTGAATCTCTGAATATTCAACAAAAAGTAAATTTTATCACAATATTTGGATTTATAGGAAACCAACAGCCCAGTGTCAATAAATAAAAGAACTGTATGATTTCACAGTGAATATTTTACAGTAATATATGATATTTATTTACACCTTTTTCCATCAGTCACTCCTTTCACTTTTTCTACCTTTCCTCCCATTTGTCACTCCTTAAACCAATTAATTACCAAGTTAATCTTATATACATATAACAATAATAAACAATGTCTATGAGATCTGAAACACTAAATATGAATGAGCAGTACAACACATTTTTAAAAATCATATCTAAAATAACAAATATTGAATATATATGAATAATTCTACCCAAGTTAGGTCTGTACTGAAAAATGTACCAAGCTGACCATAATACAGGTTTTCTGCTGAGGACTAACATGAATAGTTTGTTTAAAATACATATAAATTATGTAATTTCAATTGCAGGTGAAATAAAAATTACACCAGTCAAACAGTTATTCTGATATTAGCAGCAGCAGTAAGGGAATACCAAGGCTTTGTCAGATTGTTTTTCGACTTAAAGAGTTTAAATGTCCCTTTGGTATCTTTCACCTCTCTTATGCTGAACATGCTGAAAAATTATTTAGTAGTCTGAATAAAACAATTGTAAATAAAACCCTTTTCCATAAAATCACCCAGTTTCATTACTTTAAATATTATGAAATACTATTGTCACAGATTGTACACTTATATTAAAACATTAATGGATCTCAATATCTGCAATGTTCATCTATTCAGAAAATATTTATTCAATAGAAATAGGATAAATTATGTTAAAAATTTGTAAGTATTATACTACAAAAATCCTAATTGTATGTGTTTTAAATGCAGTTTATCATTTCTTGACATGTTTTCCTTAATATTTATGGGCTTTTGAATTGTTTTCCTGAAATTCTAACTAACAATGTATACATCTATATTGTGTATCAGGTCATTTTCCACAATCACCAACTCACACAAACAACTACAAGAAAATTTCTATTCTTTTAGGTACAATAACTTGTTAACAATATTTTTTCTGTATTCAAGGTCTTAAAATATTGGAATATGATAACTGTACATCTGTGCATCTACTATTTTAGTCCTATTGTTATCAATAAAAAGATTACCAAATTGTAATTTGTTAAGGTAAGAAATCAATATTTCATAACATGATTTATAAATAAAATCTGCTGATTTCAGGGGAAAAATGTGATGTGTTTTGTTTAAACAATCCAACAGAGCTCTAAACAAAATTGATTTGTTGCATAATATATAACTATGGAAATAACCTTGCATCAGTGTAATAAGACAGTCTTAAAATATACATTGGTATTTAAAAATATTATGGAGATCACCTTTGAGAGAAGGAATCTTACATTTCCACTTTGTTCATATATAATGTAAAAATGAATGACGAGACTTGCTGTATAAAATACACAGTATTTACTTATTTTGTATATGAGCAGATGTTAACTTACAGTTGTACATAAAGACTAGATGAAAAATGGATGAAACAAATTCTCTTGTTCTTTGTGAAATGATTATATTTACAGTGAATACAAAGTATGAACAAAATTTAGAAAGTAAATCAGATATGACAATAATAAACAATAAGTTTGAAGGTATATACATATCTTTTTACATGACATTTTCAAGGGTAAAAATGACAAAGGATATTTTAAACATAAATTATACACAACACCTGATACTAAGTCATGTTATTCCCCACTTTAAAATAAAAATTAAAAAAAAAAATTTTGTAAAGTTAATTGCAGAATCTTTGTAAACTTACATAATGAAACATTAAACCAATAGTACTCAGTAATTAATATGCAGTTACTCCACCCTAAAAATTGAAAGATTGTTTTCATTGATGGAGAAGCACCAAATACTGGTTTTAATATCTGTATTTTTGGTTTGACCAAGGCAGGGATTGAACAAAAAAGATGAGCACCAGAGGAGAATACTGATAGTGGTGGTCTTTATCATAAAGTCAATTATGACAGCATTAAAACATTCACAATTTTTGAGGTCCTTATTTGACAATGAGTTTCATAAACATGATAAACAGAATAGTTTTTTAATTGAATTTTAATTGATATATGATACATTCTTTTCCATTTTGATATAACAAAAGTTCTTTTTAGTGCTAGATATTTAGTTGGTAGTTTCTGACAATCTTGAGGACTAATATAATTGTGCAACTATTAATGATTATTTATGAAAGACATACATGACATAAACTGAAACAACTGTTACTTTAATTGTATACTCAGATTTGAATTGAACAATATAAAAAATAAATAGAAAGGATAAATATGGCCCTTAATATTATAGTAAAAACCAAACATTATAGTGCCGTAAGCGAACAAGCACTTCTCTTTCAAATTTTACCACTTCTCCCTATCAGTTTCAAAAAGAGAAGTCATTTCTCCCTATGATTCTGAAGTAGTGTGAGCCCTGTAATACATATATATATATATCTATTATACACATTTTAATGAAATTTATAAATTGTATGGTGATTATTTTTTCCCAAAATCTCTAGTTTTCCTCAACTCATTTTCTATATTTTGACCTTCCATCCTAATCTCTTTAGTCGTCATGTGCTCAATGATGGTACAGATTAAGTAAGATCAAAGTTTAATCTGCCAGGAAATAAATTATCACAACTTTTTTAAAGATGTCTCCAAAATTTTTTCTAAATATTTCTCATAATGCCAGGGCAAAATTTTCCCCTTAATACTTTTGATTTCTTTCCACAAATACACCTATTATTTCTTATGAGAACATGAGTAAAAAGACAATGAAAAGGTCACATAGGAAACAAACAAACAAAACCTTCCCTCTATAGTTTAATTTACTGTATTAAACACCTGTTCAAATTCTTTTTAACATCAGATTTGATTCAATTTCATAATGGATGACTGTATAAATCATTTTGTATGGTTGTGTATGTGACAGCTTGTTTTATTCTCCATTTTCTGTTTGTAGTATTTTTACTGTTCAATACAAAGTGCTATTGGAAAAATTGTGAAGCAAAAAAACAATAAATAATAGGATTTTAAACTTAATGTTGTACATGTATTTTCATTTTATTACATACCAGGACAAGATGTCAAGATAACAGTTTTTCTAGCTATTGTAACAGTCTAACAAATGAATCGTGAAATTATCTGTGTTCTCATAAGCGAGTCCCATTGGTCCTGGAACATCTAAAGCATTATTCTAATTAAAATATAATGGAATGCATGATGCCGATAATGGATAATCAATACATCTTTGGTACCACAAATTGGAAGACAAAGTTCACATAAATAACACAATTATAACGATACATTAATTACATTCTCCTACAGGGGACTAAATAACACAAGAATAAAGATACATGTAATTACACATGTCTACATTGGACTAAATTGATAAAAAGATAAATTACTTACATATTTCTACATGGGACTTCACTGACATAAGAATACATGCCTATTTAGAAAACCTATACATAGTATAGTAATCTAAAGAAGGAATGAGCTGTCAAATAGATTAAGGACCATAACTCCTGAACGGCAAAAGTGAGAATCATTAATATCACACTCGACCTCCATTTTGTCATTAGTGACAACATTTTATAATTTGAAAACCATCAGTAGAAGGGTTCATAAGATATTGAATGGAAAGAACAAACAGAGCCATTTTCCACTATATCAAGGACCATAACTCCTGAACTGTAAAAGTAAAATCCTCAATATCCAACTTGACCTCCATTTTGAAATCAGTATCAATATATTCAAAGTTGAAAAGCATTTGTAGAACGTTTCATAAGTTATTGCATGTAAACTGTTGGCAGCTAACCACTTGTTTACTTTACCAAAATAATAACCAACTTTTTTTCTAGGAACCTTGTTATAAAAATCATCTGGATATAAATATACATTGGATCCAGGGGAAGCTTCAAAAAGGGGGGGGGGGGGGGGGGGGTTCCAGGGATATGAATCCCCCTTTTTTTCCCCCGATTTTTTTTATCTTTAAATTTTTTTAATTATGTTAACGTTTCATGGTGTTTTGAGGGTTGGAACCCCCTTTTTCAAAATGGCTGGATCTGTGCCTGATATAGAAAAAGGAGATGTGATATGATTGCCAAACAGACTATCCACCTGAGACCAAATGACTTGGATGTTAGCAACTATAGGTCGCTGTAAAGTTTGGATATCATTTAAGTTTTGGATAAAAGATAATTTCTATACTTGTGATATGAAGCTGAGTGCTATGCATATACATAAAAAGCTGTACAAAGAAAATATAACAATGGATTTTGATAAGATTACAATCCAATGAAATTCTTCTTTCCACTTGCTTTCATAAACACCAATAGTCAAAAACCCTAATTTTTTTACGTCATTGATATATCATTAAAACCAAAATCAGTGAATAAAAGTTTTCCACTATATAGCATGGCATAACTTGTCACCAGTTACATGTGAAATATTTACAAAAGATTTTTTAAGTAAGAGGTACTTAATTTAGCATTGAACCTATTGCCTTTTGGTTCAGAATTGTTTTTGTACCTTCTCCTTTACATAAAATATTAATGAATGTAGCTTGAAACTTTTTTTTTAACATAGTAATGGTTTGAATAGAGGCATTTAGGATATGTTCTGGTGTATAATGCAAAGTAACTAACAATATAATCAATACCACAAACAAATATGACTAGCAAAGAAACAGTTTGACAATAATAGTTTGATCATTACGATAGAATAAAGACTAGAATAGTTCACTAAGTACACGCTAAAAATATATTTATTTGGCAAAATTGATCTTCCAAGAAAATACATTTAAAATACCCAAAAGTATGATGGTTGCTTAAAATCATACTTATGCTAATTATAATCTACTGAGTGTTCCAGGAATTGTGAAGTAGAAAATTTGACCTTACTTGGTTTGGCTATTCTGTTTAGGTTCCTTTGTACATTTGATGATATGTAGAATCAGCTTAAGTTTTATGGATGATGGCCTTCTTCACATCAGAAAGTATTTCCTGTCTTTCATATGGACAATGTGATTAAACTTGGACTAAAGAATTTATTCATTTTTAGATTCAGCACAATAATAAAATCATACACAAAGAGAAAATTTTCTCCAAATTCATGGGACACACAGTAGACTAATAAATATCATCATAATAATACTGTTCAAAATAAATGTAATATATCTCAACATTTCAACCTAAAACCTCTACACATGTTTTACCCAGATTGTTTCAGAAATAAATAATTATGACTACACAAATGATTGCTAGACTTACATTTCAGTAATAAGACCAACAAACATTGAATGGCTAGATAAACAAATAGTCTGAAGTCTTTACCAGGAAATTCTTAAAGAGATCAATGCTACAAATGAAATGAAATTATCTTTTTCTTAAATCCATATTTGGTACACAACAATTTGAGATAAGTCCCCCCTCCTGATACTGAAATTGGCACTACTCTCCCCCTAAAATATCTTTGAATACTGAATCTCTGTCATGTGTAGTGCAGGACGGAGTCAATACTTTTAATTTAAATAAACTATTATCACAGAGATATGTCTCGCCTTTTGGTAATTTAGATAATGCAAATGTTGAAATTAAAATAGCAATACTTTAACATGTAAGTTATTCAAATATTCATATCCATGAACTATGACTGAAGGTACATGGCTAAACAATCTCCATGGAAATGAGATGTACCAATGCTAATACAACTGCATACCAAATACATGTACCATTGACTTATCATAAGTTGTTCCCTTTAAACAAACCTAAACACAAACATTAAATTGTAAACTATGTAAAAAGCTTCAAAGTCAATGAACCATGATGAGGGGGTGGGGCTATATAATCTCCTTGTAAATGAGACTTGCAACTGCCAATAAATTTGCATACCAAATATCATTGACTTAACATTAGCGGTTCATCTTAAACTGATCTAATCACAAACTAATACATGTAAACTAAGCAAAAGTTTCAAAGTCAATAGACCATGACTGAGGGGTAGGGCCAAATATTCTCAATGGAAATGAGATGTGCCAATGCTTATACAATTCCATACCAATTATCATTGGCCTACCACTAATGGTTCCCCTTGAACTGACCTAATCACAAACTTATACATGTAAACCAAGCAAAAGTTTCAAAGTCAATAGACCATGACTGAGGGGGCAGGGCCAAATAATCTCCATGGAAATGAGATGTGCCAATGCTAATACAATTGCATACCAAATATCAATGACCTACCACTAGTAGTTCACCATAAACTAGATCTAATCACAAACTAATACATTGTTGACGCCGCCGCCGACAACAGTATACCTATGTCTCGCTTTTTGACTCCGTCAAGGCGAGACAACAACTTCACCTTTTGCATAATAGGTCTTATGATCACTCCATGGTTATGAACCTTAAAAACGTGTGAGAATTATAGTTTGAACTGTTGAGAATAGCTAAATTGCATTTTTTAACGATAACAATCATGAACAAATTTCCCCATATAATTATACTAACAGTATTATATACTAACAGTAGTATATTCTAACAGTATTACTATACACTATGCATCAGATTTCTTCATAGCACCTGCTAGTTTTTTCAAATAATCAAAATGATTTGACAAAGTCACTAATAAACCATCAGAAACCACTTTATCTGTAGTAGATGAATAGTCAATAAAATCTCCTTGTAATGTTGTCATTTTACCATCCATAGAACTTAAAATTGCATTAGCTGCACATAAATCCCACTTTTTTATTTTTGTTGTGTGAAGATATGCATCTGCATTACCTTTAATTACTTCTAAAGTTTTATAGCCTGCAAAAAACAAAACAGAAAATATAACGTTATAAAGAAAAAATGTATAGATACAGTATATAGCAAAATTGATAAACAAGCAAATCGAGACCTAAAAATCATTTCATTGGTAGTTAATATTTGAAATATTCTTGATATGTCATTATGGGTTCTTATTCTCTCTTATTGTTTTCATAGTGAAAGAGCTTCACAAAACAAAACTTCTGATAATCTGTTTTTTTAAGATATTAAGTTTAATATGTAAAATAAAAAGTGTGAAAAAAACCACATTATTATCAGTGAAAATAAGGTGGCATGGTGTACAGTATATGGCAGGTCATCTTACTTTCACAGAATCAGACATAAGAGTATAGAGGTATATAAGAGGTTTATAATGGTGTGATATCATTGATCTACCATCATTGATTTCCGAGTAAATTGTTGTAATAAGTTTTTGTTGATACATGTATGCTGTAACTGTACCTGCACCAGCTCCTTTCAATACAGTTTTCTCCCCTAACGCAGCTTTAGCCACTGATTCTAAATCCCCTTTGTGAAATATTGATACATGTATATTATAACTTTACCTGCACCCGCTCCTTTCAATACTTGAGTTTTCTCCCCTAACGCAGCTTTAGCTACTGATTCTACATCCCCTTTGTGAGATATTGATACTATAATTCTATCAGGATCACCTTCCTTCTTTTCAGTCTTAACTGCTTCTAAGGTTTTGGATTTTCCATATCCAACCCAAGCCCAAACTGAAACAATAAACACTTTCAAAATATGGATGGATTCTCAATGCAGTTACAAAACATTTGTATAATTCTAAACATGTGTAAATATACTTATATAAGTAATAACGCTTAACATGAAATTATAATTTTTCTCCAGTATGTAATGAGAACTAATTTCAAAACACTGAATGTGATGAGATCTATATTATCCACACTTAAATAATCTCTTACAAGTTTTAAATCACTTTATTGACATTTAGTTTTTGTACATACACTTAATTAAACAAACAATTAACAATGGTTGAAGTTATTTTTATTAATACTTAATTTTATCTGGTAAATATATCATGTAATCACATCATTATGTTTTGAATATTTTGTTTGATTAAATCTTATGAAAAAACAATCTGACTGCTTTTAATATCCTCAATACTTCAGTAGACTGTGGATTAAATACTGAAATCATAGCATTTACAATTTTTGGAAAAGCAAATAGTAAAATTAGCCCTTAACTGAATTGTATATCAAATGTTCTCAAATTTGAAGAAAAAATTGTTGAATCAATGTTTCTCAATAAAACATTGCTATTTTAATGAAAGAAAGAGTTGCTCTTAATGGATGATACAGACATGAAAAGACAAGTTATTTCAGTAAAGTCATGAATTTGCAAAAAATCTTAACTACTGGTATTTGACCTATATAGATGCTTAGAAAGTAGAGAGACAACAACTCAAGCCCAAAAAGACATTCACACAGGAATTGTTACGTGTTTATCTACTTGCTGAAACAATTGTTTTGGGTGCAGCTTGTGCTGTACATTATTTAAGATGAAATATTCCTGAAGTTAGCATATTTTTGTGCTTAAATTTGGTAAATAAACACGATATGACATTATGTCAATGATGTCACAGTCAATTTGCATCATCAAGACAAAATTAATTTTTACATTTTTAGCAAAGGCCTATATTTGGCTGGTTAAACAGGTAACACATAATGGTATCATCATTTTTGTTTTATTTTCAGTCAATTTACACAGCAAATGTAAATTCTCCTTTAATATGTTGATATCCTTATGTTCAAGCCTAAAAGGAAAGCAGTTAACCTTGACAAATCTGACTTACTAATACTTGTATTATAGTTATTGCATTGTCAAATCTGACTTACCTGTCACCTGTAGCCATTGACAAATCAGACTTACCTGTCTCCGCCATTGTCATTCACAAATCTGACTTAAATGTCTCTCCATCTTCATTGAAATATCTGACTTACCTGTCACCCATTGCCACTGACAAATTGGACTTACCTGTCTCCCCCATTGTCATTGCCAAATCTTACTTACCTGTCTCTCTATCTTCATTGACAAATTTGACTTACCTGTCTCCAAATTTGTTATTGACAAATCTCACTTTCATATCTCCTTACTGTCATTGAAAAGTCTGACTTACCTTTCTCCCCATTATCATTATCATTTTATAGCCATTGATAAATCTGACTTAACTGTCCCGGTTATTACATTAAAAAGTCTGGCATACCTGTCTCCCCTTTATTATCATTGACAAATGGTTTATGTATGACACCAATAGTAGGATGGCCATCTACTGCAACACAAACCATGGTGGCCACATACTCTAACTTCTTTTCTGTAAATAACAATGTCATTCAGTTTACTTTATAGGTTCATCAGATTATTTTCACAAGACAATGCATGCAGATTCAATTGATTGATTGATTTATTGTTGTTTACTTTATGTCCATATACAAATATTTCATGCATGTTCAGGATGCAATTTAAACCAAATGAACAATAAATACAAAAAGGTAGGTCCTGTAATAGGGGTCAAAAGGGATGAAGGGCCGAAAAATTGGAGTTTTACATCCTGCACAACCAAACAAGCACCCTACTTTGGCAAGGATTTCACAGACAGTTTGAAGAATAAAAGTGACAATATTCTATTTTTTTCAATTTTGTTTTTTCATTGTTTCTGCTTTACACTTTGTGTAAGAATTTGAGCTCATCAAAGCTGTCCCAAATAATTCAATCTTAAAAAAACCAATATGTATTTTTCAATAGTTCATGTGAACAGACTATATAGATTCATACATTTCAAAATTCTATTAAATCATTTCTCTTTTCATTGGCAATCTTTGGCCCTTGAAATTACAAAAATAGAAAGTTCTTCAACCTTGTCAAAATTATGTAAAGTTAGTTGATAAAAGAATGGGGAAACATCAGTGCAGAAATTTCAGTTGTCCTGTCCCTTTTACATAATATACATGTTTGACTGAAAACTGTATAGATTGTTAACATACATGTATCTGGCTAAATCATGAACAATAACTACTGTAAATTCAGAAATTATTGCGAGGTTTTTATTAATGCCAATAAACGCAATAATAAGAACTCGCATTATGATATCTGATACATATATATATATGTATGCAGATTTTTTTCTGAAATCGCAATAATTAATCACGCATTATTGTACATTCTTCAAAAATCACAATATTAAATGCACGCAATAATTTCTTAATTTACAGTATTCTGGATGAACAAATACATACTGTATATTGGAAAAAACAACATAAAACTGAAATTTCAACATAAAATAAATTACAAGTGTGGATGACGCAAACACCAGTATAAGGTAACAAGTATAAAATTATAATTTGAGTTTGCATGTTAAAAATTTGATTAATTGATGATTGCCTAACACTTAATGCAATGTCACACAAAAAGGCTTCAGCTGTCAGTAACTGTGAGTACCCTCAGATCTGTACTTAGTCTTTTTTGTTGTGGGGATGTATACATACCCTGCCACATTCAGTCTGTGTTTTTGTTAGATGTATTTCTGCTTTCTATAGATTGTTCTTATGTTGTACTGTTACACCACTGTCCCAGGTTAGGGGAAGGGTTTGGCGCCAGCAAATTAGTTTAACACCGCCACATTTTGTATGTGCCTGTCCCAAGTTAGGAGCCTGTAATTCAGTGGTTGTCGTTTGTTGCTGTATATCATATTTATTTTTCATTCATTGTTTGTAAATAAATCTGGCCGTTAGTTTTCTGGTTTGATTTTTATAACATTTGTCATTTCAGGGCCTACTATAGCTGACTACGCAGTATGGATTTTGCTCATTGTTGAAGGCTGTACTGTGACCCATAGTTGTTAGCATCTGTGTCATTTGGTCTCTGGTGGAGAGTTGTCTCATTGGCAATCATACCACATCGTCTTATTTTTATATTCAGATATATGTCTTGATGACAAGTTTAAAAATTAAATTTGTACACTTTTATGCTTTCGCTGTATTTAGATAAAAAGAATAATGAGCGTATATTCAAGTGTACTCCTACTTGCATACCAGTGTATTCTTTTGTAGCATCAAGAGGGTCCACCCATACTGTAATTTTCGAGTTTGATATTGACTGGTCACTGGATATTGTTTCTGCAACTTCAGTTAAATGTTTATTTGTGTCTTTAATTTCCAGTAAATTCACAGGCTTAAGATCTTTTTCTTCAGATATAACCTAAACATAAATGTATGAGTTCAATTGTATTCAAAATCACTGCTAGACTACATGTACGCATGTACATTATGTACCATGTACATCAAACAAGGCTACTTTTGAATTATTTGAGAGTTCTTTATAAAATTTCGTTCCTGTAAAATTTATTGTATAATATATATATCTGTATTTGTTTTAAATAATTTGTATTTTTGGTTGTTTTCCTGCTTTTATGACATGTATGACATTAAAGATTATTTTTTATTATTAATTTATCATTAATCAGCTAGCAGTTTATGGTCTACTCTATCAACTTATGAAACAACCAGGAACCTGTTTGCATGAAGGAGCCAACAGTTTACATTATACAAGTTATTCTAATTTTATTTTTGAAACTTTTACTATGAAAAATTGGTGACATTATAATCAACAATGGCTGATACAAAATATATATGCTCAAGCTTATCTTTAACCTAGCCTCAGCAGTTGTCATACAAAAATACCCAAATGAATTATTAATATATTCTGATTTTTTTTAAATGATCCAGATATTTAAATCCTCATGTCCATAAAAGACTGATATCATGTGAAAAAATATCTGAATCCTTCTCGGAAACCAAATTTGTAAAATGCATCAGAAAAATAGAAATGCATTTTGTTAATATATTGAGTCAAATCATGATGAATGTATATACTATCACGGGTGATATTACAATGCAGGATACTGTGGGAAATATAACAAAGTTTGGTTTATTAAAATATATTGTAAAGTACATACATGACATATGTTCATATTATTGATGTACTGTAAAATAATACTGGTTTGACCACATGGATTTTGAAGTCAAAACATTTAACTCCTTCCAGATCAACATGGACAAAATGATTGAAATTAATACTGTAAATTCAGAAATTATTGTGAGGTCTTTAATAATGCAAATAATGTGACTCAGTGGTGTCTCGCAATAATACATGTCATATATCACTATGCAGATTTTACTGAAATTGCAATAATTAATCTCACATTTTTGTCCATTCTTAAACAAGAGCACACATGCTGAAATGTCTCGCTTGCTTTACTAATCATTAACCAATGAACCATGAAAATGAGGTCAAGGTCAGATAAACCATGCCAGAACGACATGTACAACTTACAAAGATTCAATACACCAAATATAGTGGTCCTAGTGCATATATTTTATTGAAGTATCTGGAAAACAGACCAAACCATAAAAAAATTTACATAGACCAATGAACCATGAAAACGAGGTTACGGTCATAATAACCCTACCAGACAAATATCTACACCTTACAATCATTACTTACATCAAATATAGTTGACCTATTGCTTATAGTATCTGACAAACTGACAAAATCACAAAACTGAACATTGACCGATGAACCATCAAAATAAGGTCAAAGTCATATGAAACCTGCTAGTCAGACATGTATACCTTACAATCATTCTATACACCAAAAATAGAGGCTCTATTGCTTATAGTTTCTGAGCAACAGACCAAACCACAATAAAATGCTCCGCAGGGCGCAGCTTGATACGACCGCAGAGGTCGAACCCTGAACAGTTGGGGCAAGTATGGACACAACATTCAAGCTTGATACAGCTCTGAATATGGATTGTTATTAAATATTTGACACAGCATAGGTTTCTGACACAGAAAGAATGTGGTCTAAGAACTTGAATTTTTTTTAATTTACCTATTATGGTCCAATGTCCAAAATCAAAATACATGGTTAGATTCAGCATATCAAACCAAAGAACCCCATATATTCAATTTTTGTTGAAATCAAACAAAATTTAATTTTGGACCCCAACTTCGACAAACTTGAAAACTGGGCCCATAATCAAAAATCTAAACACATGTTTAGATTCAGCATATCAAATAACCCCGAGAATTCAATTTTTGCTAAAATCAAACTAAGTTTAATTTTGGACCCTTTGGACCTTAATGTAGACCAATTTAAAAAACGGGACTTAAAATTAAAAATCTAAATACACGGTTAGATTTGGAATATCAAAGAACCCCAATAATTCAATTTTTGATGAAATCAAACAAAGTTTAATTTTGGACCCTTTTGACCTCAATATGAACCAATTTGATAGCGGGGCCCACAAATAAAAAATCTAAATTCATGGTTAGATTCAGCATATCAAAGAACCCCATATATTCAATTTTTGTTGAAAACAAACAAAGTTTAATTTTGGACCCCAACTTGGACAAACTTAAAAACTGGGCCCATAATAAAAAATCTAAACACATGTTTAGATTCAGCATATCAAAGAACCCCAAGAATTCAATTTTTGTTAAAATCAAACTAAGTTTAATTTTGGACCCTTTGGACCTCAATGTGGACAAAGTTGATAACGGGGCCCAAAAATCAAAAATCTAAATACATGGTTAGATTCAGCATATCAAAGAACCCCATATATTCAATTTTTGTTGAAATCAAACAAAGTTTAATTTTGGACCCCGATTTGGACCAACTTGAAAACTGGGCCCATAATAAAAAATCTAAATACATGTTTAGATTCAGCATATCAAAGAACCCTAAAAATTCAATTTTTATTAAAATCAAACTAAGTTTAATTTTGGACCCTTTGGACCTTAATGTAGACCAATTTGAAAACGGAACCAAAAATTAAGAATCTAAATACACGGTTAGATTCGGCATATCAAAGAACCCCAATAATTCAATTTTTGATGAAATCAAACAAAGTTAAATTTTGGACCCTTTGGACCTCAATGTGGACCAATTTAAAAACGGGGCCCAAAATCCAAAAACTTAATACACGGTTAGATTCAGCATATTAAAGAACCCCAAGAATTCAAGAATAAAACCCCATTGAAATTGATCAAGAAATAAGCAATTTATACGAAGTATCTTCTTTTGCACAATACTGTGCAATTGAATATTTCTTGCTATTGCGCAATACTGTACAATTGACAATTTCTTGCTATTGCGCAATATTGTGCTATTGGATATTTCTTGCTATTGCGCAATACTGTGCAATTGAAGATTTCTTGCTATTGCGCAATACTGTGCAATTGAAGATTTCTTGCTATTGTGCAATACTGTGCAATTGAAAATTTCTTGCTATTGCACAATACTTATTATATAATAATTTACACATCCTGTTTGGTGTGTATCTCCTACCATATCATTATTATTTGCTTTTAAATATAAATCAGAAATAACCACCTTAAAATGGAAAATTTAAAAAGAAAAAAAAAAGGAAAAAAAGAAAAAAAAAAATCCCCCCCCCCCCCAAATTTTTTGAACCCCTTATGATTCATCACCCCCAAACTCAATCCCAGCCTTCCCTTTGTGGTATGGTACCTTGCAGTACAATTTCAGAGAGATCCATACACTTGAACACAAGTTATTGTCTGGAAACTAGAAAAAATGCTTATTTTTGGCCCCTTTTTGGCCCCCCAATTCCTAAACGTTTCAGGCAATTACCCCCAAACTCAATTCCAGCTTTCCCTTAGTGATATGGAACCTTGTAGTACAATTTCAGAAATATCCAAACACTTACACACAAGTTATTGTCATGAAACTAGAAAAATGCTTGTTTTTTGCCCCTTTTTTGGCCCCTAATTCCTTAAATTTTGAGGCAATTACCCCCAAAATCAATTACAGCCTTCCCTTTGTGATATGGAACCTTGTGGTACAATGTCAGAGAGATCCATACACTTACACACAAGTTATTGTCTGGAAGTTACAAAAATGCTTATTTTTGGCCCCTTTTTCCTTAACTGTTGGTACCATAACCCCCAAAATCAATCCCAACCTTCCTTTTGTGGTATTGAACCTTATGGTAAAATTTCATAGAAATCCATTCACTTAAACTAAAGTTAGAGTGCGAAAACCAGTGTGTCTTCGGACGACGCCAGACGACGCCGGACGACGACGACGCCGGACGACGACGACGACGACGACGACGACGACGTCATACCAATATACGACCAAAAAATTTTTAATTTTTGCGGTCGTATAAAAACTAAGCATTGTCCAATGAATGTAAAAATAAGAAGATGAGGTATGAATGCAAACGAGACAACTCTCCACCAGAGACCAAATGACATAGAAGTTAATAAAGAGCTGTGCCATGAGCGCATGATACGCCCGTCTCTTTTTCAAAGAATATAGTTCCATAACTACTCAATGTCATATCAGAAATTTAAAAAAACTAAAGGAATGTTATTATAATACATGTAGATATAAACAATTCACCAAAGTTTCATGCAAATTGGTTAAAGCGTTTTTGAGTTATTGTCCGACATGTTGACGATAGACGGACAACAGTATACCATAATATGTCCCGTAAATGGGCGTATAAAAACCATGGGTCACCGTACAGCCTTCAACAATGAGCAAAACCCATGAACCATGGAAATTATGTCAAGGTCAGATAAAACCTGCCAGTCAGACATGTACATCTTACAACCATTCCACACACCAAACATAATTGACATATTGCTTATAGTATCTAAGATACAGACCATGACAAAATAAATGGGGAATGTGTCCATGGGACACAAATGATGCCAACCCTTGCATATAACGTTATAAAGGGACATAACTCAAGAACAGTAAAAGTCACGCTACCTAAATTTGTGCTTGATCTGAGTTTTGTGGTAATAAGCATTTATATATTTATTTGTTCAGTGTATGTTCACTGGTGTTAATATGTCCTTTGATTGAGTTAAGCTATTTCAGTTGATATTTTATAGTGTGTCTTTCTATGTTGTGACGTTACAATATTGTTTCAGACTTAATAGGGTGAAGGTTTGGTACCTTTAAACCGTTTAAACCCGCTGCATTTGTTTGCACCTGTCCTAAGTCAGGAATCTGATGTTCAGTAGTTGTCGTTTGTTGATGTGGTTCATAAGTGTTTCTCGTTTTTTATATAGATTAGACCGTTGGTTTTCCCGTTTGAGAGGTTTTACACTAGTAATTTTTGGGGCCCTTTATAGCTTACTGTTCGTTGTGAGCCAAGG